TAATTATAAATTTTCATTTGAACACTTTAACAGCAATTATAAATTTGAATGATTTTTATTTCTCTCTCATTCTTGCCACATAAATTCAATAAGATAGGTTGAAATAAAATTTTTATATAAAAATTTGATGATAAATTTTTTAATCCATTTTCTATCCATTTTTTAAAAAGAAATACATTGACCAATTAAAATCAAATTTTTTTAACTGTTTTGCAAATTTACAGTTGGTTTTTATTTTGTTGTATAAATTTTTACAATAAATTTTCAATGTTTTTTAGGGGGAATGATGGAAATTTAAATTTTTATATTTAATATATAAAATATTATATATTTTAAAATTATTAAATGATTATTTAAAAAAAAATGAAAATAAAAATGCAATTTTTTTTTTTTCAAAATCTTTTTTTTTAGTTTATAAATATAATGAGAAAATTTTTTTTTTTCAACAAATCCTTAAAAACAAATGATCATTTTCAAAAAATTGTTTTTTTTGAATTTTTATTAGAAATTTTTATATGCATTTAAAATTTTTTTTTTTGCAATCAAGAATAATATTTTGAATGAAAAATTTATTCTTTATTAAAAAGGAAAAAAATTTAAAAAAAATATTATTTTAAAAAATGATTTTGCTAAAATTAAAGAAAAAAAAAAATCTTATTTTTTTTTTGAACATTTTTCAAATAAAAATTATTTATTGTTTTCATCAATTGGTTGTGAATTCCATGTAAAAAAAAAAGTTTATAAATCTCAAAAAAAATTTTATTGATAACTTCAATTCATTGTTAAAATAAGGATTTCAAAACACATCAAAAAAATGTTGAAAAAAAAATTTTTAAATCTAAAACTTTATTTTTATAATTTTAAAATTTTCTTTAAAAAATTTTGAAAAAAATCTAAAAAATGTATTTTTTTAAAAATGGTAAATGTTTTTTATTTGAAAAAATTAAATAAAAAAAAAATATATCTTGATTCATTTTATTTTTTATAAAAAAAATCAGAAAAAGATTTGGCCTCAAATACATAGGGAAAAAAAATAAAATGAAATTTTAAAAATGATTTTTTGCTTTTTTACACAAAGTTTTTTTAAATTAGAAAATAAATTTTAAAATTTTTTTTTTTATTAAAATTTTCATTATAAATTTATATTATTTAAAATAATCAATTAAACATTTTAAAATGAAAAAAATTTCATCATAAAAAAATGTAAGATATGAAGACAAAAACCTTTTGATTTTTTTGGAATTTGCATTGAAAATTTTCCACTGCCCACCTGTAAGTAAATATTAAAGTATAAAAATTGTTCAAAAAAAAATTTTTAATGGTTATGAATGATTCAAAATTTGTAAAAAAAATCATGATTAATTTAAAAGGAAACAAATAATTCATGATTTTCAAAATGAAATACATTTTAAATTAACAAATGGATAAAAAATTGAAAAGAAAATGAAGAAAAATTTAAAAAATATGAAAATATTTTTTTTTTGACTCCCATTTACTTTTTTTGATTGGTCATTGTAATTTAAAAAGTAAATCTCATAAATTTAAAAATTTGAATTTCAAATGTTTTATTGAACATTAATAAATTTTTGAAAAGAAATTGGAAGAAAAACAAAATTTTTTTGATTTTATAACATGTAAATGTTATAATTTTCAAATAAATTTTATATATATATATTATATATTATATATATTTAAATCAAAAGTTTTTTTAATGGCTGTTGATTAAAATTTTTTTTTAAACAAATTTAAAAAAAATTATAAAATTAAAAAACGAATAATTTAAAAAACTGTGAAAAAAAAATTTTTATTTGATTTTATAATTGTTTTTAAAAAAAATTCTATTTTGTTAAGAACTATTTGAACAAAAAATGAAATTTTGACAAATCTATAGAAAATAAAAAAATAAAAGAAAATAAATTTAAATTCAATAAATCAGATATTCCCATTTAAGTAAACCTAAGATTTTTTCAGCAATGTGTAAATCTCATTTTTTTTTTTTTTAATTGTATATGTTGAAATACCAAATTTAATACTCAAAAGAACTAAAAAATCAAAAATTTTTAAATTTCATTTGAATTCATTTTTTCAAACAGTTGAAATCAGAAAAAAATGAAAAATAAACAGATAAAAAAAAAAAAAAAAAAAAAAATGAATTTAAAAAACAATTTCAACATTAAATTGTAGGAAACTCCATCAATACTTTCTTTCCAGTCTCATTACTGTTCCAAAGTTTTTTTTGGAAATTTTCCTAAAAAAAATCATGATTTTTAAGCCAATTAACTTTACAAATTCTTTTTAGATGCAACCTTTATATAAAACTAGTACAGGGTGAAATTTTAAAAAAAAAATTTGAAAGATTTAAAGGAAAACAATTTTTTTTTTATTTTTTTTTTTTGTTTATTTTTAATAAATTTTTTTTTTTAAAATTTTATTAAAATGAAAGATTATATTTGAATTTTTTAAAATAAATTATCAGAATTTAATGAAGTTTTTGAAAAATTTTAAATTGTTTTTTTTTTACAAATAGTCTCAAAAAAATAAAATCATGTATTCTCAAAAAAATGCAATGAAAATTGATTCCAATCAATATAATTTCTGTTTGAAAATTAAAGATATGAATTTTAAAAAATAAAATTTAATCAAAATTTCAGTTAATTAAAAAGAATTTAAAAAATTTTTTAGAGGATTTTTTTTTATACAATATATTTTATTTTATTTTCTTTTTTTTTTTTTTAAAAAATTAAAAAAAATTTTTTTGACCAAAAAAAAAATCCCATTCAATTCTTTCCATAACATTTTTGTTTTTTTTTAATAGATAATTCTGCATTTCATGAGTAATGTTGAAAACAAAGGTAAAAAAGAAATGCAACTATTGGTATTTTTTTTTGTTCAAAATTCAATATTTTTTTTTCAATTTTGAAAATTATCATATTGAGGAAATGTTTCACAGTACTTCAAATAAAAAGTTAGGAAGGAAATCCCCATCAATATTGGAAAGAGTGATAACAGACTTGAAAAACCTATTTCTCTGGAAAAAATTTTAAGAGAAATATTTAATAAATTTCAACTGACAGTAGTACTGGCTGCTTAGTCCATGAATGTTGTATGCTTCCTTATAAGAAAACAACTATTATTGCCATTTAAGAACTTTTGAATGTATTAATTATATATGGTAATATTATGAATAAATAGTAATTTAAATCATAAGGTGTTGAGTCAATAAATCTCTAGCCTGACTGTTATTAGCTGAATTTTGATTTGAAATTTTCAGTATATAATGTTTGATCTATGTGATTAATATTCAACATTGAAATGATAAAGAAAAGATGATAAACTTGGACCTTTGTGCCCACAAAAAACAACATTAACATCACTATTATTTTAACTACCTTTACTCCTCAGCAATGTTTGTTTTAAAAAGCGATGATTAAAATTGTAATAAAACCTAAGCATATGAAAGTGAATTTATATAATCTTTGTTCTTGAGAATTGACAACAAAAATAATAAACACTATTTATTTATTAGATTGTTTATTTACACTATTATATTGTTTATTGGAATGGTTGGCAAAACGTTGGCAAATTCCCAATTGATTCAAACTTTATAAAATGGTAAATAATAAAAATTCCTTATAGTTGGTTCACATATTTTGTAAATGTTTGTAAATTTATTAATAAAAAAAAATGATTTTCATATTTATTTCTTTATAAATTGGTAAATGATAAGTATTGTCTTGCATTAGTTTTAATTGTATTAGAATGTTGTAACTATAAAATTATTTTTGTAAATAAACAATCTAATAAATAAATAGTGTTTAATATTTTTGTTGTAAATTCTCAAGAACAATATATGTATAAATTCACTTTCATCATATGTTTAGGTTTTATTACAATTCTAATCATTGCTTTTTAAAACAATAACCGAGGAGTGAAGGTAGTTAAAATAATAGCGGTGTCAATGGAAAAACCATCCTATATGCACAAAGGTTGCTGAATAGATTAAAAAAAGTAAAAAATTTTGTGAAAGAAATTTAAAGAAATTTTTTTCATCATTAGACTACAGACTTATTTAGCTACCTTGGATGTGTGAGTGGTGTAATGGATGTGGCTAGGAATAAGAAATTGATGAGTTGAGTTCAAATTCCATTTGAGTTCATTACATTCACTTACATGCAAATATTCTTAGGAAAAGTATAGAATCTATCTCTTCTCCCCAGCTATAGGTTAAATAGCAGTACAGACTGGGTTCTATAGCCTTTTTTGGCAACCATTCTAGAAATGCTGACAATAAAAACACCCATCTCCCAGCAAGTCTAGGTCACTTGTATGGATGCATCAGCCCATGAAAATGAACAATAATTTAAATTATTCAGTCATGTGAGTTGCAGATTCTGCTGCAGGTGGAAAAAGAGATTACTTTTTTTTTTTAATGTACATACACATAAATATATTATTATGTATAATATTGATCTCACTAAATTCCAAGTTATCAACAAATGTAAATACAGAATACTTCAGTCTGCACTTAACATCTCATGGCATCAAACAAGGAGCTCTATGGCTAAATCCTTCCTGTCTCTGAAACCAAATGGAAGGATATGTTAAGATTTGCATAACATTGATTGCACTATAAAGAATTTGTCACTGATATAATGCTGTGGCAACTAACTTGGGCCAGAGGTCAACCAGCAAAAACTTTTGTGAAAACAACTACAAGAGTATTGAAGAACTGCAGGTCAGCATAAGAAACAAGAGTGTAAGCATCACTTAGTATTTTCTCCATTGATGATGTCATAGTCCAAAAACTAGTTAATGTCCTACATTCTCTAAGTGAGGAATAAATGAAATGTCAAAAATTCTAAATAACTAGAAAGCTGTATTGCAACTCTTAAAAATATATTTGAATAGACAATGCTGTTTGTAACAAGTAATTGGCAAGATTGCTCAACATCATACTCATTATAAGACTGTTATAAATTTCTTAAAATATTTTTTTACAGTGGTAGTCAAGACACATGTAGTGAATTTGATGAAGATTTTTCACCAGCCCCTGCTCTTGTAACCATGTCCAGTCAAGGAGATTCTGGTATTCACACACAAGCATCTATTATGACAACAGATGAAGAAAACAATATTGAGCTGCAACCGGTAAGTTAAAAATAATATGTATATATGTATGTGTATAATAAGAATATATATGTACATATAAAGATATTGAAATATCTAAATGATGATGAAAACAATGTTTATTTTACACAAGAATTATTCATTTTTTAACATAATCTCCTTTCTTGTCAATGCACTTAATTCAGGGATGAAGATAATCACATAGGTCAAATATTATACAGTGAAAATTACAGGCAAAATTCATTTAATAATTGTGTGTCGGTTTTTAGAGACATTGGTTCATCCTCATTGTGTGTGTGTGTATATATATATATATATATATATATCAGGCATGTGCCATCAGGGTAGGCAGCTTGTTACCTTTATGTAGTAAATCTACAAAAAAAAACAAAATATTTTGCATTTAATACATAATCAGAGTAACCTTCATAATTTTGTTGGATTAGGTGCATATTGTGTTACAGAATGTCACTACTGATCTATTTTATTCAGGGTAGGCACTGCCTATCTAGATGGCACATCCCTTATATATATATATATATATATATATATATAGTCTTAAGCTGTGCTATATTTATGTATAAAAGTACTTAATATCAGAGATAGACCATATATAAATATAAAAGTGGACACTGAGGTCAACACTAAGCATCAACAGTCATGCTTCAATGCAATCTTTATGCATGAAGATTGAGATGAAGCATTAAAATTTTTTTTGCCACTTTTTATATATATATATATATATATATATATATATATATATATATTTATTTTGGATAGAAAAACAAGTTATTTTCAAATCTAAATATCAAAAATATGTTAACTCTATCTCTGATATTGATATTTCTATATAATAAAATTATAAAAAAAAATATAATATATAAATAATTATACATATATATATTTATTTATATTTATATACACTTTTCACATATATATATATATATATATATATATCTGATGCAATAAGAATAAAAAGTAATTATATAAATTCTAACATTCACAGCATTAATCCAAAAAGGGCTTGATGATAAAAAGCGATAATTTTTTATTATAATTTTATCATATAGACAAAAACAGTTTACTCACTACAAAGATGCAACTTCGTTGAGATATATATATATATATATATATATATATATAGAGAGAGAGAGATGTTTCATTGAATAATTTATACATGTTCTGTCTACTTATTTTTGATAGGATCCTTTCATATTCATGGATAAGCATTTTTGTCTCATTATTGAAGGATGAGGTGTGTGTGTCTGCATATACATATTCATTATTATTATAAATTATTAGAAAAAAAAATGTTGAAATTTTAATGAACAAATAGCTTTAAAATTTTTCGCCTCTATATTGTGCCTCTTTTTGATGATAAGTGACTGGTAATTAAATGATTTTTGGGAAAATTTCAAAAGCAAAGTGTTACCTCTATAAAAAAAAGATAAAAGTAGGAGTGAGGAAACACAAGTTCAGAATTAAAAATAGACTTGTGGGTTTACCTTGATCAACCAATCAAGTGTTAGATCTACTCTAAATAGAAAATTAAGCTCAGAGAGTGGAATAACAAAGTGGAAAAAAAATTTTGGTTTGATGCATTTTGTTATTTAGGACTTCATAGAACTAAAGTGATGTTTCTGTTGACATGACTATGCATACTGAAATTTTAAACTTAATTTTTTTTTTTATTGTATATGTATTTATGTATATGATTTAGGCAGTTTCATTTAATTTCTTTTTGTTTTTGTTTGTGTTTTTATTTTTATAACTTTTCCTATTAAGTATCCCACATTGTGATAATAAATAAAACCAAAAAGAGACTATAAAAATTGGCTGGATTATATCCCTATACACATATAAAAATAAAATAAAATTGAAATATTTAAAATTTCAGTATGCCCTGCTCTTCATGCACATGTCTACACATCACTGGAAACATCCCTTTAGTCTGATGAAGTCCTAAAGATGGAGCACTTTTTTTTATTATAATAATAATAATACACATGAGAAAATATGTGAAAATGATCAGAATTCAGTAGGAATGAATAACTGGCATCATAGGTACAAATGACACAATAATCAAGATATCCCATATCATCAAAAACAATGGACACCTAAATGATTAAAAAAAAAAAAAATTTGGAAACATTGTGTCTATAATAGCATCTATATTAACATATTAATTATTTATTTAATGATCACTTCAATATGCATCTTTTATTTATTGTCTCTGTGCAAGAGGAAAATGAGTGTTTTTTTTTTTTTTTTTTCCCCAGTCTTGTTTTCCTTTAGAAAAGATGAATCGGGCTCCAGCCTGTTGGACCAAAGAAGAAGAATTTATAACACCAGACAAGGATCACAGTGTCATGTTCACTTTACCTGTAAGTTTTTTCTTCACTATTTAAATTGACCGGTTCAGTCATTTAAAAAAAGGAAAAAAATTTGGTAGAAAATAATTCATTAGGCCTTCCTCAAGCAATGAATTTTGTCAGAATCAAAAAATATTGTTTTTTTTTTTTTTTATCTTTTTAGAAGGACTGTTCCTGTTTATAATATAAATGCAGTATCAAATCACTCATTGAATTCTTAAAGAGTTATCTGTACTTGGTTTTTATTTACAAACCTCAAATTAGAAACTGTACTTATGTCATTGATATGTAACAGATACGTTCTGACAAATCATTTTTTTTTATTTACTTTTTTTATAATAAACAACAAATGAATGTGTATATATATATATATATATATATATATATATATATAAAAGAGAGAGAGAGAGAGTGAGATAGAAAGTTCACTTTCTTCAGAAACAGTCATTCACTCCTGTTGTTCACTGCTACTAACAAGCGGGGATTTTTTTCTCCTCATGATGGCCATGCTGGCCAAAACTAATCAAGGAACCTAAGTGAAATAATAAAACAAAAAAATATTAATATACAACCCAGTATGTCTGAAAATTTTAATTTTTTAATATTTTTATTGTTCAAAACATATTATTTCAGGAAAATATTTTAAACAAGTATTTAATTAAAAAACAAATGGATATATACATTTCTCTATGATTTATTTTAGGAAAATGTTTTAAACATATGACAAGCTTATTCATTGATCCTCTACTTTGAGTGGCTCTTAGGCCTAGCATTGGGTGAACAACTCCTTATCACCTTATTGATTGAGAGTGCAGCATGCCAACAAAGTGATAATATTGTTTATTTGCTTTAATATTCTCAGAGATGGAGGCATGGTATGATAATTATCAACTGGAATATTCTGTCTGCCTTGAAAATCATCATTTACTATCTTAGCTTTTATCTGGGCTTGAACACTGATCAGTGGGAATTAGGAAACTATCTAAATCCACCAAAAAGATAAGGGCACAACAGTGATTCTCAAAATGGGAGGCACTTTTCACCTATGAAAATTGTATGATCCATTGAAATAAGAATTCCTCTTCTTTTTTTTTTCATTTGATTTTAATAAAAGTGCCACTGATTAAGTTTTATGGTGAAAATGACTAGTTTTTGTATTTACATTATTTATATTGTTCGGACTATTGTCCTCATCATTATTGCCATATTCATGACATTTCGGCCGTTGTACGCTCTAGTCTTCTTCAGGTGACATACGTTGGAATTTCATACCGAACCCTTTATTTAGTCCACAAGGGTAGATTGTTCTAATTCCACATGCCATGCCTTTTTTTTAGATATCTCAGTTTCAGTTAATTCCCTTTTTAGCAACTCAACTCTCCAAGTTTTTGTTCTCTCTGCTGTGGCCAGGTATTGAACTCACAACTCTTTGGGTCAAGTCACTTTTTGGATTACTCAACCAACACTTTTATCCACTGGTTTGAAATTCTAACATATGTCACCTGAAGAAGGTCTGAGCGTACAACAGCTGAAACGTCATGAATATGACAATAAAGATGAGGACAACACTCTGAACAATGTAAATAGTGTAAATACAAAAATTAGTTATTTTTCACCAAAAGTCATGGCTTGAGGAAGGTTTAATGAATTATGTAAATAGTGCAAATAGTTACAATATCTCATCTCAGAAATATAGACAGATACTAGTTTTTGTTTTTAAGCATTAAGTTAAATGGATATTTTAAGAGCGATTGAATTTAAGAATTAAATAAGAGAATTGAAAAGTTTTATGGTGAAAAGTACAGTTTTTATATTTGGACAATCCTCTGCCATGGCTTTTGAATGCTGATTAGAAAATCAGCATTCAAAAACCATGGCTTTTATCTGGTCTTGAACACTTATCACTGGGAGAGTATGCAACCATCTAAATACGTCCACACAAAAGATATGTACACAACAGTAATGCTCAAATGGGAGGAAACTTGACACCCAAGGGGAGTAATTTTAGCCTGACAAGGAATTAGACAGTAAATCAAATCAAAGTTTTAGTGTTCCATTGATTTTAGAATCAAATGAGAAAATTGAAATAAGACTGGCAGGATTGTCAAATTCTATTTACCAAAGTGTGATATTGAGCAAATATAAACACATGTTGGCCATCACTAATCCAATATCAGCAGGATCTGCAAAGTACATAAGACATTTTGCCGGATAAGTGATGGTTGCATTAGAATATGCTTAAGGCAACAACTCACTTCATCCTACCTTTTAACATACCCTGTAAATCAGGTTAAGCATCTCACTTAACATGGTCTTCTTTTGAGTAAACTGTATGACCTTCCTGATGTTGGCCATCATTAGGATCTGCAAATTGCTTAATAAGGGATTTTGCCAGAGATTACTGATGATTATATTAGAATACACTTATGGAAACAGCTAGCCACTTCATCCTACCTTTTAAAATACTCTCTAAATCAGTACATGTTGATTAATAAAGAAAAAAGAAACCTTACCAAGATTTTTTTTTTCAAAATTCTACTTCATTGTGGACAACATAAGTTGTTTTCACTTTACACAACAAGAATCATTCCCTGCATTCATTGAAGCTATGTTTTAGATTAAACATAAGCAGGTTATAATAAAAAAGCACAAAAGATGTGTGTGAGAAAACGGGAGAAAAAAAAAACTCCTTCTTGCTGAACAAAAATGACCACCTTCTTGCGAACCTGAAACGAACGCCTTCTCTTCCGAACAAACACTTTATGACAGCAAACGAGCAAACAGCAACCACGACTTCTGCCAACAAACGGACGACTGACCATAGCGGCTTTTGTAATTTTTTAAAAAAAGACTCAAATGACTCATCGTCTTTTCATGTAGTCCAAATCAAATCCATTTGGTACTCCATGGTGTGCCTGACTGTTATGGTGGAACACACCTATTCTATAGTTAAGACTCTCCCACCTATAATAAGTAGGAGTAGTAGCAGTCACTGAGTCGCTCAGTGAGTTTGGTCAGTCAGTTGATGTCGGACGACCGTTAGTTGGATATTAAAGTATCAGCCACCATAACTAGATTACTGCGTCATTACCTATTATATCAAGTTCCTAACGTTTTGTACGTCGAACCTATTTTAGGACCGACTTAGTACAAATACAAGCCTCCACTGTGAAACCACTACATAACAACTTGGCGAAGATGATTCGAACTCATACGGAGGAAGAAAAACCTTTTGCACTCTACAACACTGACGAAAAAACACACATGCAGTTCAAGGATGATAAATTAGGAACATGTTCTCATTATAAGATAAAGTGAAATTGCTTTACCAGTGTTTGCAAGTGTTCAAAAACAGCTGATGCAGCAGCTATTGCCACCAAACTGAAGTGGCAAATCTCTGCAGTAACCCAAGAAATCTGAAATTGTTCTTAGGGAAATTTAGTGCCAGGTTTGTGATGGCCAATTTTTACATATTCTTCAAATGATTTCTAATTGGCATCTATTCATATATATATATATATATATATATAATTAATTAAATGAACAACAGACACTTTAAGGTACCATAACAATAATTTATTTCACCAAAATCCTTTTTAAAGGATTTCGGATCATCAGGTAACACTTCCAACAATTTCATCCTCCTTGGAATTACCAATTCGGTTTACCAAATTCTTCATAACTTAAATAAATATATATATATATATATATATATATATATATATATATATATTGAGAGAAAATAACATTTCTGTACGAGACTAACTTATATCATCAAAATATTATTCTTAATCATTTAAGTTTGTGGACAGTGTCTTGTTTGGCAAATCTGACAGCTGTACACATAAAACAATGTAGTTAACATGCCTCTGACTTGATGCAAGAAACTTTTATAAAAAAAAATACATGTGCCTATTTTCAGTATGATTATGACAGTGAAGGAGATGTTCAACCTAAGCCTTCACCTGCCAACTATACTGACTGCTGGGGTGACCATCATGTTAAGATGCCATGTTCAATCCATAATGATTATGCTGTAGAAGGAAAGGTCAGTCATTTGTAGATTTCTTTTACATTTTCATTCTTAAAATTTCAGTCTTTTTTAATTATTATTAATATTATTTTTATTTTTTTTAAATTTGTTTTTAATGCTTTTGAAAATTATTTTCATTCTTTTTTAATTATTTTCATTCCTTTTTTAATTACTTTTAAAATTATTTTTGTTTCTTTTTAAAATTATTTTTATAATTATTTTCATTTTTATTTTTAATTGTTTTCAATATTTTCCAAATTATTTTCATTCTTTTTTAAATTATTTTTAGCTGTTTTCATTCAATGATTTTTGTTTTCATTTTTTAAAAATTATTTTAATTTGTTTTTAAAATTTTATTTTTAAAATTATTTTCATTCTTAGTTTTAATTATTTTTAATCTTTTTAAAATTATTTTCTTTCTTTTTAATTATTTTCAATCTTTTTGAAATTATTTTCATTTTTTTTAATTACTTTTATTTATTTTCATTCAATAATTTTTGTTTTCATTTTTGAAAATTATTTTCATTCTTTTATTTCAAAGTTTATTTAAGAATTCTTTTTCAAGTACCCAAGGCTTTAAAGTATTTTAAAAAGAATTTGTATAATGTTTGACTCTTTTTACTTTATATACTTGAGTCTGCAAACATATCCCTGAAAGGTGGTCTCTTTAGTGAGATTCTTACCCGTCTGCTGAGGGTGCAATTTACATATTCTTGGCTCCCACCAACAGTGCACACTCCTGATAATCATTCATTGCTTTGAATTTGGATTTAAAGGACAATCTGATTTAAAAAGCTGATTTTGCACATTTCTTCCTACAAAATAGTTCTTCCTTGTAAGCCTAAAAACTCGATTTCAGTCATGCCACTAGATTAAAATTCAATCGAGATGTTTAATTAGCATTTTTACAATTTTTCCCCAGCTGAAACAACGTTGGGAGCTTATCCAGTTGGCACTGATGTTGAAAATAAAATCTTCACATGATCTTGAGGTAAGTATACAGACTTGTGTACCCTCTCCACTTACTTAATTTCATGAAATTTTTAGAAATTAAATTTTCTTACCAAAAATTTTTTTTTACTTAAAAATAGGACTCCTTGGAAAATGTAAATCAATCATTTTTTTTTTTTTTTTTCAAACTACTGCTGTTTTCCTGAAAATCTGCACCAAATCATAAACTAAAAAATAAATATAACTATGACATTAATTAATTAGAGAAGCTATGCACATCATCCCTTCAAAGTTTTAAAACTTTAAAATAAGTTACTTTTTTAATTTCTATTTTACTAAATATTTTTATTTTATGTATTTATTTTAATGTGGATCATACTTCAGTTGAGTAATTTTTTTTTTAACTTAAGAAAAAACAACCTAGAAGAAATGTTTTTTTTTTTTTGTTAGTAGTTTTTTTATTTCTTTTCAGTTTATTCTTTTTTATAATATTTTAAATTTTATTATTTTTTTCAGAAAGCATCTTCAAACATAAGGCTATAGATCTATAGTAACTAAAAGTCAATAAAATATTAGATAATTTCTGAAAATATGTTAGTTTGTAAAAATTACTAGGTAGTTAAAAATATGTAAATTTATGTCAATTCTGGTCATCCATACTTAGCTGTCAGTGCCATCAATCAATACATAAGAAAAACAGGACCTGTGGTTAAGAGCTGCTTGTATACTATGTTTTTTATGCTATAAGTAAGTAATATTTGTTTCAAATCAGATTAATTTAACTTTAAATTTGCTAATTTTCCTCAAATATTGTGTCAAAATATATATTTTATTTTTGGAAGATTTTTTTAAACCGATAATTAAATTTTGTTTACAAATGTCTTAAAATGTGGAAAATGGCCACTTGTAATGGATTTTGTGAAAGTGAGCAAAAAATTGACATTCCAATCTATATAACTTCTATTTGAAATACACCAGAGTATTTTGCTTACTGGAAATAGTAAATTTAATCATTTAGATTTCAATTGAAGCTAAAATGAAATCTTCAAGAATGTTTTTTCATTTTTAAAAATTAATTCTAAACCTTAGTTATCCACAATTTATACCGAATCAGTGGAGGTACCTATGGTAAATTGTTTCAGAATCTTTATAAAACCAGTGGAGGAAAAGACCCACTCCATGAAGGAGCAAAACACAACAATATTATTTGAAAAATACATTTAAAAACTCCCTTCACAAATGATGACCAATAAAAGAATGCAAAAAAAATTATCATTAGATTTTTATCATTTATTTCAGGCTGCCATCTTGAAGTACAATCTTCGTTATAAAGGTGTCTGGAAATTTCATGCCCTTCACCAATTATTTGATTGTTCTTGAGTTAACTTTAGTCCCCATCAACTTTTTTATTGGCTTTCTATGAAAAGAGACAGGTATTTGAATGAAAATAGAATGTATTATTCTCTTCTGCAATGTCTGTTCATTTTGATTCATGCCTCACAGAACACAAGGTAGTTTTTGTCATCTCAGTTTGGGATTCTTAGCCCATTTCTCAGATATACTTTTAAACTTATTTTTTAAGAAATTTCAAAATACAGTGGATTCCACTTAAATAAAATATATCTTGGTCCTGATAATGGGTTGTGTTAGTGGAGTTTATAACACGAGAATTGTTTTGCAACGCGCTGACACACATTGAAATCCACACACTATTTAGTATTGTTGAAGTTAATGTTAACATTTTTTGTTGAGATTTACAAACACTACGATTTGTTAAATTTTGTAAACCAATTGATGAAATTTAAATAAGCTGATTTATTTGGAAAAATACTTTGACAAAAATCCTACTTTACAGTTTAATATTTTCTTCAGTATTAAAAAATAAAAATAAAAGTTCAGTATTAATTATAAAAATAAAAATCAAGTTTTAAAAAAATAAAAATAAAAGTTCAGTATAAATTATAAAAAAAACTCTCATTTAAAAAAAAATAAAAATAAAAATACTCTTATTAAAAATAGTAAAAAAAAAAAACAGTATTAATTAAAAAATAAAGATCCTGTATTAATTATAAAAATCAACATCTAGTATTAAAAAATAAAAATAATAAAAATAAAAATCTAGTATTAAAAATAAAAATCTATTATTGTTATGAAAAAAAAAAAATCTAGTATTGAAAAATAAAAATCTAGTGTTATAAAAAACCTAGTATTGAAAAATAAAAATAATTAATAAAAAAAAAAATCTAGTATTGAAAAATAAAAATAATTGTAAAAATAAAAATTAGTATAAAAAATAAAAATAATTAATAAAAATAAAAATCTAGTATTGAAAAATAAAAATAATTAATTAATCTAAATTTTGCTTTTAAAAATCTAGTATTAAAAATAAAACGTCTAAAAAAAAAATAAAATATTAATTATAAAAATAAAAAATACTAGTAATTAAAATTTTGGAAAAATAATTAATTATATAAATAATTAATAAAAAAAAATCTAGTATTACAAAAAATAAAAATCTAGTGTTATAAAAATAAAATCTAGTATTGAAAAATAAAAATAATTAATTAATAAAAATAAAGATCTTGTATTAAAAAATAAAAATTCAGTATTAATAATAAAAATCCTTTATTATAAAAATAAAAATCTAGTATTAATTATAAATAAAAATGAAAATCCAGTATTAATTATAAAAATTTGTTATTAATAACAAATTTCTGCCTTGATTCTTTTGATGCCGACTATCCGATTTTTTTCTGCTGTATTTATTCTTTATTGTTTATGCTGAATGGTGTATGAAAATATCTACAAGGAATGTTTACTTTTTTTTTTTTATCCTCTGGCTTTCTTTTGCCATTTTTGCTAAGAGTCTTTAAATTTTAAATCGAACCCTTTATTTAATCCATTGGGTAGATTAAGATTATTTTTATTTCACTGTTATTGGGGGATTATGTCATTCCTTCTTAACAAGGTTCCTTCTTCTCATTATTCTGAACTAGAGTATATAAATCTGACAAACTTTATTTTAATCATTTCATCCCAAGCAAGGCAATAAAGCCACTAAGACACAAGGGGGAAAGAATATGAGAAAAAGAAAACATTTTTAAGGAGAGAGAACAAAATAACAGGGATTAAGAAGACAAGATAATAATTGACATTCTATTTAAATTTTTGACAGTGTTGATTGGAAAGCAAGAAGCTGGATGAGAATTGCAAGAGAAGAAACTAGTGTTTATATCCAGTTTTGGCCATTGATTTTGGAGTCTTTAACCTAATGTTTGTTCTTTCCTCATCAAAGATTTTCATATGATGTTCAATTCTGTTGATATTTGAATCAGGTTTGGTTTTATGTTCTTTTTTTCTTATAAAGGCATGAACTCTAGCCTTTTGCTTGATATTTGATTACACCTTTACTCTGATTACTAGCTTTTTAATCTTTAATTTGAAATCAAATAACTGACCATAAAACTGTTATCTTGTTTATTTGTTTCTTTTTCTTTTTTTCAGATGGAAGAATCAAAACGTGAAGAATTTTTTGAGAAACAACTTCCCTCAATGATTAAACTTGCCCTTCGCCTTCCTTATATTTGCACTTTGGTAAGGAATTTATTTTCAAAAGATAAACCACATTATACTTACTTGTACATACTATCCCCAGCACTCCTTTACATGGCCTTCACACTGAGATTGGTTTATTGGCCACATCACATTGAAACACCTATTCCCGTATGATCACTGAAGTTAAGCAATATTGAGCCTGGTCAGTACCTAGATGGGTAACTACTTGGGAATACCAAATGCTGTAAGCTTGGATATGCAGTGGTGTAATGGATAATAGCTCAAAATTGTTAATAAAAAAATTGAGTTCTAATTCCAGTTGGGTTTCTTATATTTACTTATGTGCAAATACCATTGGAAAAGGTATGAATCCATCTTTTCTCCCCCAGCTATGGGTTAATTAGTAAGACTTGTATCACTAAACTATTATTATCTCAAAAAAATTCTTACAATCTAAAAATATTTTCTGTATTTAAATAACCTGCAAAAGGTTGATTAGCCATAGAAAATGAATCAATCAATAAATACTAATTAGCTACACAGGCATGTCTTTTAGATTTATTTATATTCTCTGACATATAAAAATATAGTAACTGCCGTGGCCACAAAGTGAGGGATCAGTTCATATATTGATTGTAATATAGAATTGATCACTCTCTTTATATCCACTGTATAATTTCTTGTTTGTTTATCAAATTCTGATTAGATATGAATCCAATTCTTCTACCCCCAGCTATAGGTTAATTAGTAAGATTTGTATCACTAAATCATTATCATCTCAAAAAAAATTCTTACACTAAAAATATTTCTGGTTTTGAATAACTTGCAAAGGGTTGATCAGTCATAGAAAATCAATCAATCAATTCACACTGAGATCAAAATGTAATATCTGTTGAAATTCTTCTTTGCTGTGTTTCTACCATCATGTAGTTCACAGTTCTGTAGTGAGGAAAGCCTAGTTCTGGAGATTCTAATCCTGTGGCAGCATCTCCTTCATTGTACTAAAGAAGGATATTTGATGGAGACTCCTGCTAGCATGACAGTCATTGTAGGGACCGGGAAATTTTTGTACTTGATACCCAATTTGAAACTAGCCATGTATTATATCCTGTCCAGTGCTCCTAGACTGCTGACTAATCAAAGCTATAAAGCCCAGTCTATCCTGTGAAAAGAGATGGATACATATCTTTCCAAAGGTATTTGTGTGAAAGTTAATGCTGTGGCCTTGGCTGGAATTTGAACTCAACATGCCAATCCCATGTTCTGTGCTGATAGCCATAACACAATTCACATATCCTTTACTATATTAGTAATTAATTTCAGTTGTTGCTTAGTAAGGGACTAAAAGATTAGTATCCTTTAACATTGAACATGATACTCTTAAGTGCTTAATACAAGAGTGTCTTAATAATTGGTGAGGGGAGGGGCTTTTTATCAATATGCAATGAAAAGTGGGTTGGAAAATCATTTTAAAGAGTCAAAAAGTGCAAAATTAATGAATGCAGTGATTTTAATAAGCTCTTGGGGGGAGATGCAGAAAATTTCTGCCAAAATAATAAATGCTTTCCTCACCCGTCTATTTGGCATCTTAGAGTAGTGATATTTATCAATTTTCACATCATAGATATATACCAAGTTTGTTTGGAAAGTATCCAGCCACTTACTCTCAACCTAAAACAACCTGCTTTGGGCAAAGGTGCCTTGTTTCCTTCAAAGTACTTTCCTTGGAACCTCACACTCTCTTTCAGTTTGCAAAGTCCTTTTTTAGTCATCACCATCAACTGCTTTTTTGTATTCTTCATAATTCACTCAATGATGTCTTACTATGAAGTAAAGTGCTCTCTGATTTGTTGCTAACTGGTTCTTAAGATATTCAAAATTTCATAACCCACTACTAGGGAAAAAAATCAAGTGTTTTAGAAAAGAAATGAATGTCATGGATATGATCAGAATTCAGTAGCTAGGCAACAGGATAGCCCAAAAAGAAAGTGTACAATTGTGTTTCTGTGAAAGTTGCTGATTCTGTAGTAGTGCATTGCTAATATATTAAGTGTCATTTCCTTTTCCCTTGTAATTGTTGTTTTCCTTTACACTGCTTTCTAGCCCATTCCTCTGCTGAAAAAGAACACCAACAGAAGCATCACGTTTAGCCAAGAGCAAGTGGCCTGCCTTTTGGCAAATGCCTTTTTCTGTACGTTCCCTAGGCGAAACACATTCAAACGAAACTCAGAATACTTCAATTATCCCAGCATAAATTTCACCAGGTAACATTTTTAATTTTAGGTTTTTGCACATTCTTCTTTTTTCCTTTTTGGATGAAAGTGTTCCTCTTAGTTTTATTTTGTAGTAAAGAAATTTGTAATGCTTTTTATAGTGAAATAATTGGCAGTTCACTTTTCCAGGGAAATCATATGCAATGCATTTTTACTATAAAATCATTTCTAATCCTTTTTATAGTAAAAATATCCAATGCCTTTTTATAGTAAGTATCACATCCAATGCCTTTTTATAGTAAATATCACATCCAAAGCTTTTTATAGTAAATTCATTTCCAACACCTTTTTATAATAAACATCATGTCCAATGCTTTTTTTTTTTTTAGTAAAAATTGTTTCCATTGCATTTCTCCATCTGCTTTTATTATTTTTTATGTCTCTACATATGTAATCATTAGAATGAATGAAAGCTTTCATCCATTTTTTTTAATAAATACTTTTCCTACAAGTGATTCATGTTTATATATTACTAGCAGTAGAGCCCGGCGTTGCTCGGGGATGTAACAGTAAGAGATAGATCAAGTATCGACCATCATAAAGACTGAAAAATAAAATTGACAAAGATTATTGTTTAAGGTTGACGGACACGCATGTCTTAATTAGTTTTTTTTTTTTTTTTTTTAATTGGTCAAACCCAAAATCAAAACAAAAACATTGTTTACAATCGTTATGAGTCTATCGATTGATGAATAGAATTTTATTATAAACAATTGTCTTGTAAATGGAATTTTTAAAGCATTCTGAATGTAAAAATAAAGAAAAAAATGTGCAAGACAATAAGAAACACTACCTGCCAAAAAAAAAAAAAAAAGAAGTTTTGTTGAAATTGGTTGAAAAATGTAGGTAGCCTTTCTCTGTAATCTTTTACAATTTATGATTTTTACTTATTGAATACAGTAAAAAAAAAATTGCATATTTTGCTTGTGGTGATTCATAATTAGAATTCTGATTTGAATATATTTTCCACTCGTTGTTTCTAATACAAAAAATATTAACTTTATTTGGGTTTATTAATTTATTACAAATACTGTGTTTTTTCCTTAATAATTATCATCTTTTAAATATTGTTGTTTTTTGTCTATCAGATGGAAAATTTTTTCGGCATTTTTAAATTATTATTTTAATACTTTCTTTTAAATATTGAATTAATTTCAAATAGAACCAATGCCTTATTGATCTGCCTTGTAACAAATTGCAAAGGAATTGATAAAAAGATTATTGTTTAAAGTTGACGTTGAATTATCTTTCCCTATTTTATTTTTACGAAAAAAATGATTGAAAATGATTGATTATCTGTTTATTTTTTCCCAAAAAAAAAAACAAATTTTTTAATAAAAATTTCAGACGTGCTATGGAACGATTTAAAAATGTAAAAAAATACCCCAAAAAATTTTTGATCTTTCCTCTTTAATAATAATATGAACATTAGACGATAAAAAATTTTGTTTTCGTTAAGTTCATTTTTTTTTTCATCATGCTATGATCCTTTTGTTTACATTTTCGTGGGTGAGTTGTCCCCTTTCATTCTCACGATGTGTCTTAATCGTGTTTTCAAATTGATTTTGTTTAAAAAACAATTGTGTTTTTCCCATTTTGGCGCTGTTAGAACCACCACAAGGTAATTTTATGTAGTCCTGTGAAGTTTTGTTGAAATCGGATAAAAAAATATATAAACGATCCAATATATAAACACACACACACACACACACACACACACAATCTGCGTTTTATAATAAGTAAGATTATGTAGATATAAGGGTTGACTGAGCTGTTGTATTCTAGTACACTACATTGTCTTTTAGTCTACCAACTGGTGTGTCTACTTACATTTATATCTTGGTCAGCTTTTTAACCGACTCTCATAGAGTTGAAATCAACCACTAATTAATGCAAACAGATAATTAATATACTGAAATCCATTTTTCAGGCATTTTTGGGTGGAAAAATATTGGGGTTTTATATTTCATCAAATACAATGCTTAAAGAGAAGCGAAAAAGAAAAAGAAACTTGTTTGGCTCAAATGACCATTACATAGTTGTTAATGTGCCATGAAAGCATTCTGAGTTTTTGGATAAAAACTGAGAATTTATTTAAGGGTTTAAATAATCTTGTTTTACTCAAAATGACCATTATATAGTAGCTGATGTGCCGTGAAAGTAAAACAATCTAAATTTTGGATTCTGATGAAACTAGATGAATGTTTTTCAAAATACTTTGATAATTTTTTTTTGTTTTAGTTTGTATCAGAATGTGACCCCACACACATTGGAGAAGCTTAAATGTATACTGCACTACTTTCGGCGTGTCACAACTAAAAGTGAGTATTCCTAAGTTATTGGTATTATTGGTTATGAGAATTGCTACTTATGTGACAAATATACTTGAATGTTTGCATAATATATTCTGTTGTTAATGTTGCTTTGAATAGCTAATATATAACTTTTACTGTACACTAAATGACAGACTTGTCAACACTCCTGGCAGTGTTATTTTGAGCACTTTATCCTGGTCTCCCAGTTTGTAATTACTGTTCTTGCAAATTCTATGGCCACATCACCCCTTAACATCTGGCCACCTAACTCCCCAGACTGCAAACCACATGATTTTATTATGTGTTAGCGAGCAACAAAACTCCTAACACCAAAGATGAACTGAAAGTAAGGATTATGGCAGCATTCACCAACTTAAACAAGAAGAAGAGTTACAGGAGATTCCAAAGTTGTCTGATGGCTATGGTTGAAGCCAATGTCGTTTTTATTGAATAAATTTACTCTATAATATTTCAAGATATTTTTTGTGTAATTTTGGTAAATATATCTGTTAAAATGAGATATCAGTGTTATTTTCATTTTTGTGTAATTTAGATGACAATCTATACATTGCATATATATATATATATATATATATATATATATATATATATTACTTAAATGTTGTATTTACTGGATACCTAATGACAGGACTCAATTTTTAGTTTAAACTATTTGCTTCATCTACCAGCCCATATACTCAAGAAAACTTGTTAAAGAAAATGTACCCTCCAGCAGGATTCGAACCTGCATCCTCCTTTACAGGAGAAACCTCTGTCTGATCCAGCATGATTTAAATGCTCATCTACAAAGAGCTTCACAACCAAGCAAGGTTCTAATTCTGGTTAATTTGCATTATAATCCCCAAAAACCAATTGTAATGAAAATTTTCCAATATGGTATAAAATTGCCTGATTGTTTTGAAAATAACAATGAAAGTTTGTGCTCAAATACCATTTAGGAGTTATCAGCAATTTTAGCTTGGCTTTATTTGCATCACATCTACACTCCAGCCACCATTACTAACATTGTTTACATACATTTGCCTCAAGTAGTAATGCGTAGAAGCTTATTTAGTTAATGGCCTTTTTACTGATTTTCTTTTCTTCTTGCTCATCTTGATTACTGTGTAATTTTTGCAAAATTTAAAATGCACAGGCCTTGATTAATGGCTGAATTTTTTTTTTGTAAGAATAAAGCTTTAAGTGAATTGTTTTTTAAATTAGTATAAATTCCTTTTTCCAATTTCCAATGAAATTTTGATTGAATTGGTTAACCAAACAATCTTTAATAAATAAATTCTTTTTTTAAATTGGTTTAAACTATTTAAAAAAACAATTGAAAGATTTTCTAAACAAATATAATGTCTTGGGTGAACACTTTTTCCAAAAAAAAAAAGAAGAAATAATGATATTGTCTTAAGAATTCTTTAGGTTTAAATTTTGATTAATTTAAGACATTTAAATTATTTAGAAAAGCAATGGAAAAAATATTCATTTTCATTGCTATTTTTTTTTTTTTAATAATCATGCTTTTAAAAGCCCTGGATGTAATAAAAACAAAGTTTGTATCATCAAAATGTTTATGTTATTAAGAACAACCAAAGTATTTTTTGATTATGTTTTGAAATTTTGTAATCCTTTCATGTCTTTCTTTTTTGTTGATAAATGCATCATTTCCTTAAAAAGAACAAATAAAAAAAAAAAATGGAAAACATCATATTTTTTTTATCTGTTCATGGAACATGTGCTTTTTTTTTTGTGTGAAAAACATTGTTTTGGAAATTCTTGCAAAAATCAAATAATTGTCAGATTTTAAGTAAGCTTTCATAACACAATTTAAAGAAACAAAAAAAAACATTGTTAAAAAAAAAAGGAAAATATTTTTTTATCCTTTTAGGCACATAATTTTTATTTTATTTTTTGTTTTTTCATTTTTACTGATATATTTGGAATAGTGAAGCTTTTTCTGTTGGGTTACTTTTAAAATTTTGTGCATTCATTTTAAACTTTGTGATTTGTGCAGTAATCAAGACAAGTAAAGCTTCCACACATTATTACTCATGAGGCAAACATATGTAACTAAAGCCAGTAATGGCAGCTGTTCTGTAGCTATGACATGAATGAGATCAAACTTATATTGTCGATAACTCATAAACAGTATTCAAGCACAAACTTTTATTCTTATTTTTGAAATAATCAGGCAATTTCACACCATAATGGAAAATTTTCATTACAATTGGTTTTTGGGTATTACAATGCAAATTAACCCTAATTTCTTTTAAAGCAAGACCCACTTATTCAGATTTTCTTGAAAGGTGTATCTGCTGTTTTGTATCTGAAACAGCCATCCACTAAAAATAACTTTTGAAGTAATAAAAATATATCAAATTAAAAAATAAAATCCATTGATTCTTTAGAAATTGCTTTGTTTACATTTCATTTTTTTTTTTCATTCCAGTGCCAAATGGTACAGTAACATTCCAGCGACAATGTCTCAAGGATTTTCCAGACTGGGTAACATCCCAGAGAACACTATCCCAACTTTACTGTTCTTCCAAAGGAACAATTGAGGACACAGGCCCTGGGTTTCTAGAGGTAAGGAAATGTATTTAGGATTTTGCAAAAATCACTTTAAGAAATCATATAATTTTTTTCTTTTAAATTTTTAACCTTCTAATTTTATTGGTTTTAAATGTCATTGATCCCCTAAAGAGCTTTATTACTACTAAAAGAAAGACTGTTTAGAAATATTCAACATATGCTACATAACATGGAGGACAGGTCAGCTTAATTATAATTTAATCATATATATTTCATTTTGGGGTCATCAGAGAACTTGTGTATTAAACAGGAGTTTTTTTATTTTAACATTATTTTGATATATAATCATAATATATTTTGTTCTGAATCATCAGGGGGCTAATGAATCAAAAAAGTGTCCTTTTGTATATTTTAATATTATTTTGATTTGTAATCATGATTTATAATCAGATATATTTCATATGGAGTCATCAGGGCTCTAGTGTGTCAAACAGGAGAATTTATATAATTATGTCCTTAGTTGAACTTATAAATAAAGAATTACTTTGTGTAATTCTTATATTTAACACAAGAAATTAAACTGCTTAAAAATATTTAACTTTAAAATATTTCAATCATAGATATTTTTCCAGAATCAGGCATCATGTAACTAAGAATGTCTTTGTATGTATCAAATCATCCTTGGCATTTTCCGTTGACCTCTTGTATATACATAATCTCATTTTAATGTTCACAGAAAGAAAAATACTGAAAATATAAACATTTGATGAAAATATATTCTAATTTTGTAGAAAAGGTTTTTTAAAAATTTTACACAAGCATTTGTGTAAAAATTAAAAAAAATTAAAACTTGGATATTAACAAGTGAGGAGAAGCTGAAAAGATATCTTCAGGTAAATTTGTCTTGAAGCAGCTAACAAGATATTTTTAAGGAAATTATTTGATACCTCAACTTCATGAATTTAAGTTTAGTACTAGATTGGCAACTAGGTCTTATCATTTTACTGTTGAAATAGCTAGATGTAACCATAAGTTCTAATAGTTTCTTCTCTTCCATTGGAAAGTGGAACTCTTCCACTTTCTTGCTTTCCTGTCAACTATCATCTCCAAATATTTAAATGCACTATCAATTGCCATCACCTGTCTTCTTGGATCCTGTTCTTTTATTCTCCTTTCTCCTCACTAACATTTTCTCAGATTCTTTCACTCTCAGTAACTTTGGCATCTTAGTGGCATTATCAGCTTGCTTGGGGTGAAAAAATCCTTCATGCTGGTCTTCTTACTGAAGTATTGAATCAGACAGTGAATCAAGAGAATTAGGAAATATTAAGAAAGGCAATGATTATGCCAGAACAGCTGACTTGATAACTCTTGGGAAATTCCATTATACTGGATTTCTTACTATAGAAGAGAATCTGATTTGTATATGGTGTTAATACTAATACTAATTGTCTTGGGGTAGCTGACAGGATATTTTACCAGTGTAACATCACATAAAATTATCCCACTCCAAGCAGTTAAATTTACATTTAAAGATAAGGACAACTTGCTTAAAAGAACTAGTTTAATTCGATATGACCACCATATAAAATCAATGTGCCATAAAACAATCTTGTTTAACTATTACTATTTTTTGTTTGTGACTTCAAGGTGAAAGATTTAAAATTAGAAACAGTAAGAATTTATTATGAATGTCTCTTCACTGAAGTCTTCTCATTCTTTTTCAATCCTAGTACCCCCCCCCGCATCTTAGTGGCATTATTGCCTTGCTTGTGATGAAATGATCAAAAAAAAATTTGGTACATCGCATGTTGATGAGGCATAAAATACATTGCATTATCAAATAATGACAAAACTACTGAAATTTTGCGTTTGTAAGCTATACAATTTGTTTTTTAATTATTTCACCCAAAGCAAGGCAATAAAGCCACTAAGGCACAAGGGGTTACTGAGTATTAGAGAATATGAAAAAAAAAGCTATTAAGGAGAACGAACAATAAAAGAAAAGGAATTAAGAAGACAGAAGATAATAAGAAGAAGTCAAAAGAGAATTCCACAAGCAAGAAGTGCAAATAAAGAAACTGTTAGCATAGAATTTGCAATTACATCTAGCCATTCCAAGTATAAAATGATGAGACCTTGCTGCCAATCTAGTACTGCATTTAAATTCATAATATCTAGGTGGTACCATAGAGGAAAGTTCATCAGAACAATTATCATGAAAATATAGAAAAGGCAATAGGAAAGTGATAAGATTAGGATTATATAATTATGGCACAATGGCCATGTGGTGTCAAAAGTTATTTTTTTACTAGTGGTATCTGTGAAAATTTCATGGTACTTGAATAATATTGAAGAAGAGAGATACATAGAAAGAAAAATTATAAGACAAAAATCATATATGTCCATTTTACTATTAGAAACAATTTCTTTCCTCTCCCTTCCGTTCTTTTCTCTATTTTCTGTTCCTTTCTTTCTTACTTTTTTCTTTTCTCTATTTTCCATTCCCTTCTATTTCCATTCTTTCTTTCCTTCTGTTTTTTTCTCTATTTTCTGTTCCTTTCGATGGTCTTTATTTCTTTCTTCTCCCATCCATTCACTTCTATTTCCCTTCTTTTTCTTTCTTTCTTTTTTTCTTTTCTTTTCTCTATTTTCTGTTCCCATCTATGATCTATCTTTCTTTCTTCCTTCTCTCCTTGCCACTCCTTTCTGTTCCTTTCTCTGTTCTCTGTTCCCTTCTATGTTACTTCTTTCCTCTTCCTTCCATTACATTTATTCATTCATTTCTTTTTCTATTTTCCATTCCTTCCATTCCTTTCTCTATTTTCTGTTCCTTCCTTTCTCTTCTCCATTTTCTGTTCCTTCCTTTTCTTCTCCATTTTCTGTTCCTTCCTTTTCTTCTCCATTTTCTGTTCTTCCTTTCTCTTCTCCATTTTCTGTTCCTTTCTCTTCTCCATTTTCTGTTCCTTAACTTTCTCTTCTCCATTTCTGTTCTGTTCCTTCCTTTCTCTTCTCCATTTTCTGTTCCTCCTTTTCTTCTCCATTTTCTGTTCCTTCCTTTCTCTTCTCCATTTTCTGTTCCCTCCTTTTCTCTTCTCCATTTTCTGTTCCTTCCTTTTCTCTTCTCCATTTTCTGTTCCTTCCTTTCTCTCCTCCATTTTCTGTTCCTTCCTTTCTCTTCTCCATTTTCTGTTCCTTCCTTTCTCTTCTCCATTTTCTGTTCCTTCCTTTTCTCTTCTCCATTTTCTGTTCCTTCCTTTTTCTCTTCTCCATTTTCTGTTCCTTCCTTTTCTTCCTCCATTTTCTGTTCCTTCCTTTTTCTTCTCCATTTTCTGTTCCTTCCTTTCTCTTCTCCATTTTCTGTTCCTTCCTTTCTCTTCTCCATTTTCTGTTCCTTCCTTTCTCTCCTCCATTTTCTGTTCCTTCCTTTCTCTTCTCCATTTTCTGTTCCTTCCTTTCTCTCCTCCATTTTCTGTTCCTTCCTTTTCTCTTCTTTTAATTTTCTTTTCTTTTTCCTTCCTTTCTCTTCTCTTAAAATAAATTTTCTTTCTCTTCTCCATTTTCTGTTCCTTTTTTTCTTTCCTCCATTTTTCTGTTCCTTCCTTTTTTTCTTCTCCATTTTCTGTTTCCTTCCTTTCTCTTTCTCCATTTTCTGTTCCTTCCTTTTAATTCTCCATTTTCTTTTCCTTCCTTTCTCTCCTCCATTTTCTGTTCCTTCCTTTCTCTCCTCCATTTTCTGTTCCTTCCTTTCTCTTCTCCATTTTCTGTTCCTTCCTTTCTCTTCTCCATTTTCTGTTCCTTCCTTTCTCTTCTCCATTTTCTGTTCCCTCCTTTCTCTTCTCCATTTTCTGTTCCTTCCTTTCTCTTCTCCATTTTCTGTTCCTTCCTTTCTCTTCTCCATTTTCTGTTCCTTCTTTTCTCTTCTCCATTTTCTGTTCCTTCCTTTTCTCCTCCATTTTCTGTTCCTTCCTTTTTCTTCTTCTCCATTTTTCTTTCCTTCCTTTTCTCTCCTCCATTTTCTGTTCCTTCCTTTTCTCTTCTCCATTTTCTCTTTCCTCTCCTTTCTTTCTTCCTCCATTTTTGTTCCTTCCTTTCTCTTCTCCATTTTCTGTTCCTTCCTTTTCTCTCCTCCATTTTCTGTTCCTTCCTTTCTCTTCTCCATTTTCTGTTCCTTCCTTTCTCTTCTCCATTTTCTGTTCCTCCATTTCTCTTCTCCATAAAAATTTCCCTTCCTTTCTCTTCTCCATTTTCTTTTTTCTTCCTTTTTCTTCTCCATTTTCTGTTCCTCCTTTTTCTTCTCCATTTTCTGTTCCTTCCCTTTCTCTTCTCCATTTTCTGTTCCTTCCTCCTTTCTTCTCCATTTTCTGTTCCTTCCTTTCTCTTCTCCATTTTTCTGTTCCTTCCTTTCTCTTCTCCATTTTCTGTTCCTTCCTTTTCTTCTCCATTTTCTGTTCCTTCCTTTCTCTTCTCCATTTTCTGTTTTCCTTCCTTTTCTCTTCTCCATTTTCTTTCCTTCCTTTCTTTTCTCCTCCATTTTCTGTTCCTTCCTTTCTCTCCTCCATTTTCTGTTCCTTCCTTTTCTTCTTCTCCATTTTCTGTTCCTTCCTTTCTTTTTCTCCATTTTCTTTTTCCTTCCTTTTCTTCTCCATTTTCTGTTCCTTCCTTTCTCTATTCCTCCATTTTCTGTTCCTTCCTTTCTCTTCCTCCATTTTCTGTTCCTTTCCTTTCTCTTCTCCATTTTCTGTTCCTTCCTTTTCTTCTCCATTTTCTGTTCCTCCTTTCTCTTCTCCATTTTCTGTTCCCTCCTTTCTCTTCTCCATTTTTATTTCCTTTCCTTTTTCTTCTCCATTTTCTTTCCTCCTTTTTCTCCATTTTCTGTTCCTTCCCTTTCTCTTCTCCATTTTCTGTTCCTTCCTTTCTTCTCTCCATTTTCTGTTCCCCCTTTCTCTTCTCCATTTTCTGTTCCTTCCTTTTCTCCTCCATTTTCTGTTCCCTCCTTTTTCTCTTCTCCATTTTTTCTTTCCTTCCTTTCTCTTCTCCATTTTCTGTTCCTTCCTTTTCTTCTCCATTTTCTGTTCCTTCCTTTTTTCTCCATTTCTGTTCCTTCCTTTCCATTTTTCTTCCTTCCCTTTCTCTTCTCCATTTTCTGTTCCCACCTTTCTCTTCTCCATTTTCTGTTCCTTCCTTTCTCTCCTCCATTTTCTGTTCCTTCCTTTCTCTCCTCCATTTTCTGTTCCCTCCTTTCTCTCCTCCATTTTCTGTTGTTCCTCCATTTCTTCTCTTTCCATTTCCTTGTTTCTTTCTCCATTTTCTGTTCCCTCCTTTCTCTTTTCTCCATTTTCTCTGTTTTTCTTTCCTTTTTCTTCTCCATTTTCTGTTCCTTCCTTTTCTTCCTCCATTTTCTGTTCCTTCCTTTCTCTTCTCCATTTTCTGTTCCTTCCTTTCTCTTCTCCATTTTCTGTTCCTTCCTTTCTCTTCTCCATTTTCTGTTCCTTCCTTTTCTCCTCCATTTTTCCATTTTCTCTCTCCTCCATTTCCTTTTTTCTTTCCTCCATTTTAATTTTAATGTTTTCTCTTCTCCATTTTCTGTTCCTTCCTTTCTCTTCTCCATTTTCTGTTTCCTTCCTTTCTCTTCTCCATTTTCTGTTCCTTCCTTTCTCTTCTCCATTTTCTGTTCCTTCCTTTCTCTTCTCTTTTTCTGTTCCTTCCTTTCTCTTCTCCATTTTCTGTTCCTTCCTTTCTCTTCTCCATTTTCTGTTCCCTCCTTTCTCTTCTCCATTTTCTGTTCCTTCCTTTCTCTTCTCCATTTTCTGTTCCCTCCTTTCTCTTCTCCATTTTCTGTTCCCTTCCATTTTCTTTCTTTCTCCTGTTCTTTTCTCTATTTTCTGTTTTTTTTCTATGGTCTTTCTTTCTTTCTTCTCCCATCCATTCCCTTCTATTTCCCTTCTTTCTTTTCCATTCTGTTCCTTTCTCTATTTTCTGTTCCCTCCTATGTTATTTCTTTCCTCTCCCTTCCCTCTTCTATTTCCCTTTCATTCCTTTCTCTATTTTCTGTTCTATTCAATTTTTTCTTTCTTCCTTCTCTATTTTGCATTCCTTTCTATGATCTTTCTTTCTTCCTTCTCCCATCCATTCCCTCCTATTTTCTTTCTTTCTTTCTTTATTTTTCATTCTCTTCTATTTCCCTTTTTTCTTACTTTCACTGATGCAGATGTTAAGCACCTGATTGTGTTATTGCTGCCTCTGTCTTCCCTCTCCTTTTTTCTTTTTCTCTCTCTCTCTCTCATTATTATCTATTCTTTTTCTCACTAAAACCAAACAACATCTCTGACATACGTTTTCTGTCCATTTTTCCTCGCAATCAGAAAAGAATGATCCATTATTTATCTGACATAATATAAGACGCATAACACAGTTTTGTAATTTAATTCAATAGAGATTTTATTATTTTAGTAATCAAATATGACATCATTTTCTGGGGTTAAAGAATCAATTTCCACCAATCTTCTGGTATATAAACTTTCTTTTCTTGTGTTTTTATTATTATGCATTCTTTCTTTTTCTCACTAAAACAAAACAGCATCGGGGTAGTAACACCTGTTAGGGTCCCAGCTATGGGCAAATAGTTAACCCTCAAACTGGGGCCAAAACACTATGAAAGTGTAAAAATAGGTTTTAATACCAGAAATACATTGTAAAAAATTATTACCAGGTATACATTTTTGAAAAAAAATATTACCAGAAATAGATTTTTGAAGGAAGAATATTACCAGAAATAGATTTTTGAAGGAAGAATATTACCAGAAATAGATTTTTGAAGGAAGAATATTACCTGCAATACATATTTGAAGGAAAAATATTATCAGAAATAGATTTTTGAAAAAAAAATATCGCCAGCAATAAAAATTTTCCGGCAATAAAATAACCCACTGAGGTTGATATGCTGTAAAACAAAACAAACCAAACCAACCAAAACAGCATCTTTAATATATCTTTTTCTTCCATTTCTTCTTTTGCAATGAAAATGGAATTGTCAGTTATTTATTATTTATCTGAGGTAACAAGGAACATGCAAATTATAACACATGTTTTAATGAAACAAACAAGGAACATGCAAGAAAAATTCTAATATGATTCCAGAATTATATGGTTTTGTTTCATTTTAGGTTGCCTTATAAACAAAAGGTTTGGTGATGATTTGGTGTCTTATTTCAGAATGCTATGGATTTAAAACAAGAAGAAATTCGTTTTGTCATTTGTCCAGAATTATCTGGCTTATGATCTGTGTTTTCACTGAAGTTTTGGAAAATAACAAAAACCCAAACTTGGCCTGCAAGGAAGGAAAATAATCAAAGGTTTGTATATATATATATATATATTTAAATATTTTATTTCTGATGAGCAAAATGTTGTCAGATTAATGAGCCATTGTATCTGAGAAATGATTAAAGATATCTTACTGGAATTTTAAAACTAAAACTATTGGACAAATTTCTAATAAAACTTCCTATCAGATCACAAGAGAAGTATCATGATGAATTCAATCATAGATGAAATCATGTTCATCATTAATTAATCATACCTGATCTGTGTTAAAATAAAGTTCAAAAATATATATATATATATATATATAGGATGCACGGTGGAGTAATGGATGCTTGATTGAGGAAAATCTAACAAACCCTTAACCTACCCTGGTCCTCCAGCTATGGGTAAAATAGCAGGACAGACTGGTTCTATAAATGGATGGCAACTGGTCTAGAGAAGGACAACTCTGAATTCAAAACCTGGAGGGTCGCTTTGGCATTGTGGCATTCGGTGCACCAGGTCTCTGTATTCGTCCCTTCAAAAGTGTGGATGGTCCTGCACGAGGCCTTCACCACTATAATCAAATCTCATGTGCGGTGTTGGGCTGTCGGTTTCCTGAAACTGATCTGCTTTGACCCTCATACGTCGAATCTCGACAGGAGAGTCGATTTTATATATAGATATATATATATATATATATATATATATATATTATTCCAGAATCATTTTCCAACTTATTCAAGAGGATCTTTACCATCTCTAACATTCTAACTTTCTGTCCTGGAGTAACAAGGTGCCTCCCAGGTTTCATGTATAATTTGATTTTTCAAATTTTTTTTCACTGCTCTTTGGACTGTCATAGCTGAAACTCCTCTCTCACGTGTCAAACGTCTTATGGATTGAGTTGGATCTTTTCTAATTGGTCTCTTTAGCTCTAAGTTGAAATGATGATCCCTCTTCCTGTTGTGACCTCCTGATCCAGTTTTCCTCTCTACTGTTCCTTTTTTTAAACTTATTCACCATTCTGTTGATGGTACTTGAATGGACTTTGAAGATGGAAGCCAGAGTATGAATATTGATACCATTACTGAAGGCCTGGATGATCTTTTTTCTCTCACCATTGCTCATTTGGGAAGACAGTGGGTCTGATACAAAACAATTTTAACCTGCTCTCTTTTTAGCTGAATGACTCAAAGGGTTTTTCAGTGATTCTTATGAAAAATGGTGTCAAGATGGATAAATGTCTGAAAACCTGGAAAAAAGAGACTCAATTAGTTTAGTGTTTTTTTTTTTAGATATTAAACATTTTCTGGGATGGATAATTATGCTGTTACATGATTTGGACAATTTTCCTGTTACACTTTGTGTGTGTGTGTATATATATATATATATATATATATATACACACACACACACACATCTGGACTGTCCATGAGAAGCAGACACAGGCACATTCATTACACAAGATTGACTCCTATATGTCCATCTCGAGAATAGAATTGACATCTTCCAGCTTGTTTCAGCTCAGCATAAGCAACTCTGTTCTTCTCAAATTCTTCAACATCAACAGCAGTCAGATTTCTCCATGTCTCCCTGCCTAATGCAAGATGTTCCCAGGAGTTAGTATCTACATTGGCCTTTTTAAGTGTGTCCTAAAAGTTGTCCTTGAAGCATTTGTGTGACTTGCATTGATCATGTCTGTCTTGCTCAGGCTCACCATACAGCATCTGTTTCAGCATGTGAGCATCTTCAAAGTGAACAAGGCCATCTAAGTTAGTACTTCATGAACTCAATGTTTATTAACCTTAATGACTCTGCAGGCATACATGTCTGCCAGCGATACTCTTTATCAGTATTCTCTTGGCAGACATATTTGCCGAGTGACAGAGCTTTGTTTCAAAAGGAAAGTACATTTCTAAAAATAACCTATTATTATGGAAATGACATCAAGCTTGTGATACGAACTGGGAATGACCGGATGTCAGCCATTTTGTCCTAATTGAAGTAGTTATTTTATCAGCAAATTTTAATAATGTGTTTTAAAATTGTTCATCTTTCGGTCACAATGGTGACCCGCAGGGCAAGGTGTGGATCTGTTATGTCAATAGAGGAACTTTTCATAGACAGTGAAAGCAACACATATATTGGCAATGTGTGTGACAGTGAGACTGAAAGTGATTCCAACCAAGGAGGAATTTTTGAACCATCACAAGCATACAATCACCCATGGCTACCAGAGTTTTCCTATACTCCTGGATGTACAAATGTTGATCAAGAAGCTAGTGAGATAGACGTTTTTTTATATTTTTTATTTTTTAAATCAGACATGTTATTCAATTAAAGATAGTGGAAATTAACGGGTATGCAAATTATGTGAAAAAACAAAATTAGGTGACACAGCAAAGCCTAACTCACAAATCAGAGCTTGGAAAAAAGTTTGCTGTGAAGAAATGAAAGCATTTTTGGCCAACTTATTCAAGATGATCTTTACCCCTCTAACTTTCTATCCTGGAGTAACAAGGTGCCTCCCAGGTTTCATGCATGATTTGATTTTTCAATTTTTTTTTTCACTGCTCTTTGGACTGTCATAGCTGAAACTCCTCTCTTACATGTGCCAAACATGTGAGAGAGGAGTTTCAGGAAAGTTGGTTTGATAAAGCAAGCTTTGTATTCATCTTACTGAACAACAGACCCTCTTTTATATATTCAAGGCTTTCATGATGTCATGAGTAGGAATCATTTTTAATCAATTCTGTCATATTTTTTTAGTTTTCCTGTTTTTTTGGGGTTTTTTTTTCCTCAAAATTTATATGTGTAGTAAAAAAAATACATCTACATTTTTCTACATCTTTTCATGCAAATATCCTGAAAATTTTATAATTATATCTCTAAAACCCTAAAAGTTTCATGCTAGTAATATACACACCATTCAAAAACAGCACACTCAAAGTTAATGTGGATCCAGGGGATACAACTCTGAAAGTTAGTGCAGAGTTGTAAATGTTAATATAGCCAGCTGTCACACTCTTGTATCTGACACATGTGATTGCCATGAGATCTTTAGTGTAACACACAAGCATCGCTGGGGGAAATGCTTGAGACATTGAACATGTTTACAGTAGGTTGTCAGTCTTGCATCCATATAGCAACATTGATAGTACACATGCTTGGTAGATCTCTACTTAGGTTATTATTTTGATGTCAGATTGCAATCAAAGTCTCAATATGAGCTTACCAAATACATTACAGACCTAAGAAAATGTATATGTGATTTCCTCGTCAAGTGTATTATGTCTAGATAGTGGGTTACTGAAGTAGACAAACATATATATGACTTCTAACTAAAAAGTTAGAAGTCATAGATAGTTGTAGACATAGAATGATGGCAGAATATACAGCCTATTTGGAGCTGATTGTAGCATGAAGACAGTCTTTTTAAGACTAATTTTTAGTTCAAATTCATCACATGCAACAGAGAAGCAGTCCATCAGGTGCTGCAATTCTGTTTCCATGTCTGTTACAAGATTGCAATAATCATTTTAAAGGAGATCATGAATGAGAGTTGTCAATTTTTTTCTCACTGATGTATAATGGGTTGTGTAGCAATGTCAGTTGTCAGCTGATATCTGCAGGATGTTACAGAAATTGTTTTGAGAGTCATCGTCTTGACAAAGAAGATCAGCCGAGTGGGGCGGACTATGAAACAGGTCAACAGACCCTGGGTTCTTGATGAATGACTTTTTAAAACGAAAGCTGACAAGGACAAAGAAGGTTTGTTCTCTGTATGTCAGTGATCCTTAGCAGCCTAAAACAGAGGATCATTTGCCTGCTCAGCCCTTATGAGAAGGTCACAATAAAACAAAATTTGCCAACTGCTACAATTTCATCTCATGATCTTTTTTTTTCTTGGTTAACAATGTGACCAAAGAATTATTTTCCGTGTATAAACCACAAATGTTCAACTAGAAGAAGCTGCATCCAGCAAACAAACCTGGTGTCTGGTCTGAGCTGCAATGTTACAGTTGACCATTGACACAAATCCAGTTCTTCCTGTTGTCTTGTAAAGATCTAATGAGCCCTGTGAATTTTTCAGGACACCCTGGTTTAAGATGGATACTCTGCAACATTGGCTTATGCAAAGTGTCAAACGCTTTGGTGAGATTGATGAAGCAAAAGTTGATCAACTTGCTGCTCACTACACTTCTCTTGAAGTCTGTCAGTCTGTAAGGATCAAATCTGTCGTATCACAATTAGGCCTAAATCCACATTACAGAATGTTTGGTGCAACATGGTCCAACAGTCAAATGAGAAGTAGTATCCTTGCAAAGATTTATCCTTAACCAACCACAGTGAGATTCCACAGTAGTTTTCACAAATGTTGTTGGGACACTTCTTCTATCAAGAAACAAGAATAGCACCCCTCAACTCTTGTGGAGATTAACATCTCATTCACATTCTATAAAAAATGGTAGATTATGGCCCCAATATCACCTCAACACCCTGCTGCATCATTTCAGCAACAATGCCATGGTTTCCAGGGATTTCCCCTACTATTCATCAGTTTTATGACTACCACTATTTCATCTTGAGTTGGTGGTTTGTCAAGCTGATTGATTACAGGTGTCTGGGAGCCGTTTGACAACAGGCAGGCCTTACTATAGACTTGCAATTCAAAACATCGCTGAAATGTTGTCACCAACTGGCCTAAATTTCATGTGACTTCTTCAAAATGTATTGCCAGTCTTTGCAAACAAAAGTGCAAAGATAAAAGATTGTGGGCCATAAACAACAAATCAATGAATCAATCCAAATTGTACCCCAAGGTTGTTTTGTTTTTGTTGCTTTTTCTCCAAACATGTTTTACTGATTTAGCCATTTTTGACTGTTAAATATAAATGTCGCAATTTTGGAGGAGGAAAAAAAAAGAAAAACTTTTGGTGAGACATGAACTTGTGTCCCATACATCTAGAGCTTGTTACTTGTGAATGACATGTTGTGCCTAATTCATCAAAACTGTTTTGATTCAGGCTAATATTCATTCTTAATCATTTTAGTATTCTTCTTAATTTTAATCTTCTTCCTTTTTTATTTCCAGGTTTTGAAAGGTTTAGCAACTATTCAGGTTATTCAAGCTCATTTCTCTGGAAAGGAGATTATCAAGATAAATCTGTTAGGTAAGTAGTTACATGTGTATGTGTGTGGGTGTATTATAGATTTAATAGCACTATTCTCTCAGTAATGCTAGCATTAAATTCTGATCTCTGACAATCCCTTTTTTCATTTTCCATTTCCATTTTCTATCAGTAATTTTCCCTTCATTGACCACCAATTTTTTTCCTACAATATAATTAAAATCATTAGCAATGCATTTCATTATATATAATAGCCCTATTCTATCAGTAATGCTTTGCCTTCATTCCTGACCACTGACAATCCCTTTCTTCCTCATTTTCAATGCATTCCTATAGTAAAATCATTAGCAATGCATTTCCATTATACATATATAGCCCTATTATTCTATCAGTAATGACAATCCCTTTCTTCCTAGTTTTCAATCATTCCTATAGTAAAACCAATGACAATCCCTTTCTCCCTAATTTTCAATGCATCCCTTTTCCTATTTTAAAATCATTAGCAATGCATTTCCATTATACATATATAATAGCCCTATTCTATCAGTAATGCTTGCCTTCATTCCTGACCACTGACAATCCTCATTTTTCTTCCATTATTTTCAATGCATTCCTATAGTAAAATCATTAGCAATGCATTTCCATTATACATATAATAGCCCTATTCTATAAGTAATGCTTGCCTTCATTCCTGACCACTGACAATACCTTTCTTCCTCATTTTCAATGCATTCCTATAGTAAAATCATTAACAATGAATTTCCATTATACATATAATAACCCTATTCTATCAGTAATGATTGCTTTCATTCCTGACTACTTTCACTATAATTTTATAGTGTACAGATAGAGCATAAAAAACTTCCCCAAATGATTAGTTAAAAAAAATATGCCAAATTTAGTGCTTCACCATAACTTTACTTTTTATTGATATTTCATTTATTACCGAAAATGATAACTAATGCTGAAGTATCAATAAAGTTGTTTATTTTTTTTCTCTGTCAAAATGTTTTGTCTCCCTTCATATGTAACTAAAATGAATGAAAGTAATATAACATTTAGATTTGAAAATGCATGAAAAATCTTTAAGGTTTATCTAAAGAAAATACAATTTTGAAGCATTGGTTTATTTTTATTGCTATTTGATTATTTATGCATTTTACTAAATAGTAATTGATATAGTCCGTTCTGGAGTTTGTACCAGAACTTAAATTATTATCTAGTACCAGAGCAGGGTTTGCTTGATTTTTTTTTTTAATTTATTTTCTTTAACATGATGAAACCAACAAAGATGGACAATATTGCCTACAATTAAAGAAGTTGTGGTAATTTATTTAATTTATTGGGCTAAATTGCTTCTATTTGGCTGTCCAATTTATCCCTGTAGATTAAATAACAGCTTCAGTTCAGAATTCCTTAAAGGTTATAAGGATCATCAGGCACCTGAAGAAGTCTGAAAGACATAACAGCCAAAATGTGAAACAACAAAAAAAATGAGGACATTAATCTGAATACAAATTACTCAATTGAAAACTGTAAAAGAATATATTCAGTGATATGGTGTGGCCAATGAAGGTCATGGCTGTTGTAATCAAAGGACAGAACTCTGCTATTTGATAACATGATTAAATGAGGGCAATGACATATCATTGAATTATGTGACCAACTAAGGTGACCACATACAGACATAGATTTGTCCTGGAAATCCATATATGAAAATGGCCAAGAAAGATTCAAGACCACATTAATGTTCACATTTTCTTCCTTTGCTTTTTACTCAAATAATTTCCCATGTTTGTTCCATGATTATTTGCTTTATTGTATTTTCAGCACAGGGTTAGGTCATGCAATGCAGCAGAATCTCTGGCTCAATTATTTTGCTCTTTGGCATTCCAATGCATCATTCAAACAAGCCAATTGCTCCCTGTAGCATTGTGCAGTAACTTTTTGTTTAGATTTCAGCTATTCATAATAAAAAAATACCTTTGAATGTCATGAAACAGAACATTTCTTTTCATTAAATTCTTTTGAGATTGAAATGTTGAATGTCTTCCTGGATCTAACCATGATTTTCTGTTTTGGATTTTTTTTTAAAAATCTCTTTCTCTGCATCAGTTAATATCTTGTCCAAAATTATAAAGTTGACTGTTTTTGCAAACAATAAGTACTTAGTAAACTTGTGATATTTCTTAGATTTCCCTCACACTGGACAAAAGATGTTGCTGGAAATTTTTGCATCAGTCTAAAATTTTATGAAATATAATGCCAGAAAATGTTATTTAAAAATTTAAACAGATATTCACCAGCCTTGTATCATAATCATCATCATGTAATTTGATTCTTTATTTTTGATCTTGCAGAAATTCATGGGGACGTCGAGTATCTCAGCTCACTTGTATTGATGCTCTTATCGTATCCAGCTATACCAACCAGTTTAAACAATGGCATGTTGTTCGGGAATTAAATAAAGTAAGTTTGGCACAAACCTTACATGTTGGTCTTTAGGCCTGTTTGTTGACTATAATAGTCATATATTTCCCATTGGCTCCAAAATTACTAATATCTCTGGTCAACAAAGAATTTTCTACTGGGTTAAAAGTGTTTCAGACTATATGAGTACATATCCAAACTGTACTCAGAATTGTCCTAGTATGTACCTCATTGGAAAGATATTGGAGTGGTTTCCCATTACCATTTTTTACACTTTTAAATCCAGAGTTGTCTTTCTCCTATTCTGGCTCCTACTCAAAGTTGAAAAAAATTCAGTCTGCCCTACTGTATATTATATTAATATAATACTTACATTGACCATAAATATGCAATACATGTCTCAAAAACCTGATATGCTATGACAATTTTGAGTACAGATTTGGGATCAGCTAACTGAATTTGTATAACTTGATAATAACGGCAAAGCTTGAGCTGTGACTCTAGATATCTCTAAGGTGTTTGATAGAGTTTGGCATGCCAGCCTTCTTTGTAAGCTTCAGGGATACATTATTACAGGACGATTATTTGATTTAATACAATCATTTCTGTCAAACTGAAATGAAGGTTGTCCTAAACGGGTTCTCCTTCAGTTCTTTTCATACGAATGCTGGTGTTCCCCAAGGCTCTATCCTGGGTCCTATACTGTTTCTGATCTTCATCAACACTCTTCTTGATGTCATCAGTTTTCAAGTAGGCATTTACACAGACAACACTATCATTTACTACTGTCTCAAAAGTAAATCCGGCATTGCTGACAAAGTTAACCTGGCCGTTGGTCTTGAAAAGGACCTCCAATCTGTGCTTGACAGGGGCAGGAAATGGCTGGTAAATTTTAATGCCTTCAAAATGAAACAGCTCTCAGTTACCCAGTATAGAGAAACCTCTCTACCTCCTGGAAGGCATGGTTGTCAGCTGAAGACAGCCTATGGTGTGTATTAGGAATGCCAAAATAAAGCAGGTACTGAAATTTAACTGTTTCAGTAGTTAATGCAATAAAAGTAGACAACCTAATGGATTTATTTTTGTAATTTCAGGCATATTGTGGATTTTATGACAAATCTGAGAAGAAAGAAGCTAATCTTCCTGCTGTGTGTACAGGAAACTGGGGCTGTGGTGCATTTGGAGGAAATCACCAACTTAAAGGTAAGTTTAATGAATATATTATGCACAAATGTGAAAGTAGGTGTATTCATCTTGAAACTTTCTGTTCTCGTTTAGAGTTACGCAGGTGTCATGACTGTATGGATATTACATGATTGGATTGCTGTGCTAAAATTTGATCATCTATACACCACCCTCCAACTAACAGTTGCTGCTTTCTTTGCTGGACTGTCTTTTCAAACCTGGCAGAGTTTTTGACTTGGCTTTGCTGGATTTTCATCAGTCATTCACAAGTTATGATTCCTTCTCAGAAAAGCAGATTTTTTTTAAAAACATCAATTTGGGTTGAGTTATGATCCACTTTGATAATCCTGTAGCAGACATGTTTTTCAGCTCTTTGAAAGGAATGTTTTGGGGATTGTAAAGGCCAAGAACCACTAATTATAGATGATCGTCTTGGCTTTTTGAATGCGGATTTTGAAGCGTTTTCCACAATTGTTTACAGTAGGTCCATCTACAACATGAAAGCATGAACCCAGGAGACAGTTTCTAAGTTTAAAGACTTTGCTGATGGCAGCCAAAGGGTTCAGGGAGGATTGCAAAATTAAGTAGGAAGAAAGAGGAAAGAAAAATGTCAGAAAGAAATGAATGAAGAAAGACAGGAAAAAGAATGAAGTAAAAAAGAAACGAAATACAGAAGAAAAATATAAAGTTTAAAAGCAGAAAGAAGGAAAAATGAAAAATAACAAAGATGGTCAGGTAATCAGAAAATGAAAGAAAAAAAGAACTGTAATGAAAGAGTTAAACTACTAAATATTTAAGAATAAGATTAACTTGTTAACCATTACTCCAAATAATTTTAAGCTTAGCCCAGTCTGGCACAAGACCACAAGTTTTGGGTACCAAGTATGGGTCTAGCACACTACAAGAAATAGTCTATTATACTAGCTTGTTAATTATTACTCCAAGGTTTTTTAATGTTTAGCTCAGTCTGGCACAAGGCAACAATGGTGGGGATACTTAAGGAAATAAAATTCACTACAATAATATAAAAAAAGACTAGATTGTTAAATATAACTCTAACAAAGTCAATAATAATGCAGGGTACCAAAAACGAAACAAAACATACTATAATATTAGCTGTTTCCTTATAAGGAAACAACATTCATTGACCAAGCATTTAAACTTGCTGTCAATTAGAATTTATAAAATCTTTCTCTTAAAACAATTTTTTAGGGAAATAGTCCAGTAGCTGTTATTGCTCTTTGCAGTATTGATGGGAATTTCCTTCCTTGCTTTTTGTTTGGGATGGAGTGGAACACGAGCATCTTGATTATGTCATTATTCTCTCTTCAAGTTGCATGTGCCATCCATTTTAGTTGTTACTGCTGCTGAAGATCCTCACATGATGTGACTTATTGATTGAGTCATTTCCTGCAACTCATCAACCCTTTGCCAGAAAGTCAATATTTAGAGTGTAAGAATTTTTTTTTTTAAGATACTAATGGTTTACTGATACAGGTCTTAATAATTATGTCATAGCTGGGGGGGTAGGAGAGGTGGAGTCATATCTTTCCATAAGGTATTTGTGTATCTCTATCTATAAAAGACAGGATGTGTGTGTGTGTGTGTGTGCAACAAATGCACGGCCGCAATTTTCGACAGATTTGCACCAAAATTTACATGCACATGCTCCAAGTTAGTAGGAAGGCCAAGACTGACTTTGCATTTCCCAACTCCCATCAATAGTGGAAATAATCGATTTTTTCATGCTTCTATGGCAGTTTTCATGTAGTTTGTGACCATTTTCTACTGGCCAGAGTGAGAGCCTATAGCTGGCTGCCACGAATAGGCAGGAAGATTCTATTGGCCAGTGTGAGAGCCAACAGCTGACTGACACAAATGTTAACTAGCATGCAAAAAAAATCAATAACTGCATTCATCACAAGTGGGAAAAATTTAAATCTGCATGGCACTTTACTCCAATTGGCTCATTCACTTGCTTAAACTCAACGTTGATTCTGATTCCGCAAAACTGGGTTGGGTGTGAAAATGTATTTGTTGTTAACATTCCTTTTTCATTCGGTTTTTCGAGTTACGAGTTCTTTTTTAAAGCTGATCGTTTTGTGTTCATTTTGTTTAGTTCTTTTTTCGTAACAGATTTAGTGTTTAGTATAGAGCTTAGAAAAAATTTGCAGTGTGAGATAGGCAAGAAGTAAGGCATGTAGCAAACATCAGCACGGCAAAGGGCACTCCTTTAAAGACAAGGAATTTTTCTTTATATTTTAAAAAAATATTTTAAGTCAAGTGATAGCAATTGCTGTATGAGTTGTATTATACGTGATTTACGATTTTTGAATCTCTTCCTCTTTTTTTTTTTTTTTGATTGGTTATTCAACGGGCAATGCTGCTAGTTTTAAATATAATATTTATATATATATTTTATATATATATATATATATATCTTATATAAATAATATATGTGTAGATATAAATATATTGTGTAGCAATGTAAAATGTATTGTAATTTTAATAAAAATATTTTAATATATATATATATATATATATATATATATATATATTTAGACTTTATGAATACTTATTAAATTTTTTTTTTTTAAAAAATTTTTTAGAATAACAGATTATCCATTTTTGATTCTAAGGATTGCAGTGCCATATTTGCAAACTGATTATTCACTAAATTCTACAGGGCATAGAAAAAGACTGATTGGCAGGTGTTGGTCGAGTTGAGTGGGTGCAGAAGAACTTCTTAATGTGATTGTGACTGATCTTGCACATCACTGTCACAAATGCTCTGGCACTGTAATGTAATAGACCAATGATTGGCAACTTTAGATACCTTTGCAGCAATTGCATTGGCAATATTTTGATGTAGGATGAATGGATACTGTCACAGTAATCAGAATGTAAAATGGAATCAGGTTGTGAGTTCAACTCTGACCAAGTCTGTCCACTTTCCCTTGGAAAAAAGCATGAATGTATCTTCTGGGCTCTCTTGTCTTAGGTAGCAGCCAATTTAGAAGAAAATGAAATTCTGAACTCAAAACTAGCCCAAAATGAGATACACTCTGTCAGACTATCTTGCTCTAGATACACCCACTGCTGCTGTGGCTGCAGTACATGGGTGCCACTATGACCCCAGGGGACTTGTGATCATGACATCTTGATGCGTAGCTGGCATCATGGTTATCAGCAAGAAACTGCATTTGGGCGGCTGAGTTTAATTTCTATTAAAAAATACTCTTGTAAAAACATCTTTTCTATATCCCAGCTGTTGGCAAAATAGTTGAGCAGACTGAATTCTCTAGCCTTGATTAGGAGAAGGACAAGCCTCATTTCAAAATCATGGAGAAGGCAATGGGCAAACAACTTCACTACCTTTCCCAAGAAGTTTCATGGCAATTTATAATTTACAGATATTCATTTTTTTTTTTTTTAATTCTATGATTCTTGAAGAAACATATTTTCTTTTGTTTTGATTTTTTAATATTTTGTAATTGCATGCATTGTCATGTAACAGCCAATTGAATGTAGTTAAACAGCTGAATCATTTCTTGGCTTGTCAACTGGGGACACAAATTATTCCGATTGAGCTCCAGGGTCTTTGATGTTTGGCCTATGTCTCAAATACAATTTGCTTAATTTTAGTCACTTACTCAATCCAAAGCTGTTGGATGGCTGTTTTTTTTTTTGTTTTTTTTTTCTTTTGTAGAAATCTGGATTATTCAGCCAGCAACTTAATCTGGTTGAAATTGAGATCCACTTTGAAATCACACAGTTAACTGCTCATAAAAAAAAAATCTGTTGTTTTTTTATCTGTGAGGTGGTGCTGAAAAGTTCTTAGCCCAACCAAGAATCCTTTTTCCCCACAAAATTTTGATATTTGATCATTTGGTCAGATTTTAAGAAGTTGGTTGGGCTAGGAACTTTCCAGCACCTATCTGTACATCCAGCTTAACACAAAAATATGGGTGCTACTTTGATTTGTTATCTACAAGGAAAAAATATCTACACTGGCAATACAAATTTTATTTTGATTTGATATCTACATAGTAAAACATATTATGTATATATATATATATATATATATATATATATAAAATAAAGAAAAATCTTAATGAAAATATTAAAATAGTAAAAAAATATTTACACTGACTATAGAAATTTTATTTTGAAACCATATCTACATAGTAAAACATATTTTCTCTCTATATATATATATATATATATATATATATATAAAATGTAATCAAAAATATTAAAATAAATTTTTATTTATATTCTTAAGCGAATAAACATAGTAAAACAACATTTATATATCATATAGAAAATATAATTAAAATTTTTATTCATATTCAAACTGGATAAACAGTAAAACATAATGTATATATTACATAGAGAAAATGTAATTAAAATATTAAAAAAATGTTCTATTAATAATATTCTAGCAATAAACAGCACATACATCAGCTAAAAATGCTAAATAGACCTCAGGAGTGTAGATCACATACCAAAGTAGATTCATGACATGTAAATAACAAGCCAAAGTAGCATCAAAATATGTCCACATAAAATAGTATGATTAACAAAGTCGGATGCAACCAAAAACCTTACAAGCTGTAGTGATTCTCATGAACCTTTTTTTAAATAACAATTTTGAAACATTTTGAAAACTTCTTGGAAGTTTTGTTTTAATTGCTATAAAATGTATTGGTCTGTTGAAGAATAACAGTGTCTGCTATAAAGAACTACTACTACTTCATGTTTAAGACTCTACTAAGACACTTTCATGGGAATCTCTTGAAAACTTTAATGTGATGGTGGCCGGTGGTTTGTGTCCATAAAGTTAGTTTGTTGCTTTCTAACTCAGAAAATGATATGCTGTTTTTGTTTCTATCAAAATGTCCAGAGACAAAATACAAATAAACGTTATTTTGGTAACCACTTGAACCTCTTTATTGATAACATATGTTTTTTTTTTTTTTTATCTGAAATCTTTATGGATACATTAATGGTGTCTTTCTCATCAGCAGGAAGTAGGGAAGGCCAGGTAGTCTTGGTTTTGATCAATCTTACTGAATTCTTTCTAGTTAATTTGAGTTTGATTCTCCTTAGAATTCATTTAAAACATGCTTTTTCAACACATTTTGTTATTCTTCTCATCTTTCCAATCCATGTTCCTGCAAGTTTCAACAATTATCATCCAATTAGTAGACTCTTTCTTCTTCCTTCTTTCCTTTTTTTTGTTTGATCACCCTCCGGAGATCCCAGAATCACATCCATATCTGGGCTGGAGCTAGACAATCCTTACTTTTCAGTCTTGATAGGGTTTATTTACACAATCTTGCTGGAGAAGACATATTCTCTGTTCTTACAACTGCTTTACAAAATGTTGCAAGCTTGTCACTGCTCTATCGCTATTTCCATGGCAAATGTTCAGATGAACTTCATTCTTTAGTGCCACTTTTATAGCTAGGACATTCAGTGCTACTCCTACAGTGTTAAATCACCCTCATTTCCTCTTTATTTTAAATGTAAAGAGAAAGTTCCAGTCAGACAACTTTTTCCCAAGAACTATTACTTAGTAAAACAGACTCTCATTTGGATGCTTCCCTGGACAATAAATTCTTAACTTCTTAAGTCAAGAGTCAATTGTTATCTGTCCTCTTTATATGGATGAGGAAAAAAGACAAAACCTGGGATTATACACAATGGTGAAAGTATATACCCATCATTAAAACATTATCATAGGATAGGCAGTACTCTAGAATGTATGTATGTATGTATGTATGTGTGTGTGTGTGTGTGTATATATATATATATATATATATATATATATATTTAATTTATATTGAAATTTTTCTTTTTCTTTCTTCCTTTTTTAATATTAAAATTTTTTCCTTTACTTTTTTCTTGTCCCTTTTCCTTTTGTCTGAGTAAATTGACTCCATTTATTAAAAAAAACTTCTATCTGAAGAGATGAATATTTGTATACTCATGAAATAAATTATAACACAATGGATTTTTAAGGATCATTGTTATTATATTGCTCTGTAACTTACATTGAGCTCTCTTTGGATTAATGTCCTCCTTGGAATTATCCCTAGCAATTATCAATTGATATTTATTTATATATATATATATATATATAATATGATCTTGTTTCTTTTTCAGCTTTAATCCAATTAATGGCAGCTTCCGAAGCTCATCGAGATGTCTGCTATTTCACATTCAAAGACAAGAAACTAGAAAAAGATTTGTGTGACATTCACAAGTTTCTCACATCACGTTCTATCAGCATATGTAAGTTATATGACTGCTTTTTAAGTTTATATTTATTTCTCTGTTCCCTGTAGATGTTGCACCAAAATTCTTACATACTGATTCATAATTAAATTATTAGATATATGCATAAAGATAATCAGAATCAACAAAAAAAAGTAGTTTGATACTTTTATTGCTTTTACACCAAATAATAATTGTCCTAGGTTGTCTGAATTTCTTAGAAGCATTATAGAGTTGTCTTGGATAATTAAAAGAGTGCAGTTTCATTTTGGTGGCATTAAAATTAACAAGTCATTCCTTACCCCAGTTAGCAACAGATTGTAGAACATTATTTAGATCAACTGTCAATTTGACCTTATTTGACCCTATTGAACCGATCAGACTTGCTATTAAGACAGGAATTAATAGTTGCGTCATCATATCGAGTTGAGAACTGATGACATCAGTAAGGTTGTTGATGAAAATTAGGAACAACTTAGGTCCACGGATAAAACACCCACATTAATACAAAAAGCTCTAAAAGAATGACTGTTCAAGATAACTTTCATTTCACAATGTGATAAGAAAGATTGAATCAGTTAAAAATTTGTCCAAATATACCATAACCTTTCAACTTGTGAGAAGCCCAGTATGCCAAACTCTGTCAAATGTCTTCAAAATAACAAAAGCAACAGCCTGAGCTTCACCATTTTTATCTAAAGCTTGATAAACACTTTTCAACAATAATCATTAATACATCAGCAGTTGACCTAGAGAAGCAAAAGCTATATTGCTTGTCTGATAGAATTCCCTGCAATGTGAGATGCTTAACCAATTCAGAGTTGATTAGAGACTCTAGTACTTTGCTAAAAATAGTTAGAAGGATCAGATGGTTCACTTAAGATATTAAAGACAAGAACGACAAGATTTCCAACAAGCAGGAAAGTAAGAAGTAGCAAGGTTTTTATTGTAGAATTTAGGGAGAATAGGAGCCAGTTTGTGAGAGAGCACATTTCTTCAGGACTATTGCAAGGATACCATCGTCTACATGCTTTATAAGTATCCAGATTAGAGATGAAAGCAGTAACCATAGATGGAGGTATATGCATATCACACAATAGAGACTCAGTTGTAAGTGGAAAGTCAGACAAAGATATTCCAGATGAGTCAAGAGTAGAATTTGCAGAAAATTTATGAGCAAAACATTCTGATTTATCAGTGGAAAATGTTATCACCACAAACTGAGTGAAGAGGGGAGTTATAGAAAACTTATTTAACATGCTATTACAGATTTGCCAGTGGTCACAAGAACCAGACTTGTTAAGAGGCTACACTGTGCCTCATTCTATCAGCAAACAAAGACTTATACCACTTTGAGGATGTGTTTACAATTATTAGGAGAAAATACAAATAGACGTCTGTTGTGATTGGAACTATCACACTGGTACACCTAGAAAAAGTGATTGCTATGGGCTATAGCAGCTGAAGAAAAGCCCAGTGTGATTATTATTAATTTTTGACTAGTATTTCTTTCATCTTAATTCTCTTGCTTTTATATCCAATAGGAGGAATAGTGTTAAATTTTCTATCTGACATTTTGAGATAAAAGCTATTCTTTATTTTGTATACTTCAGTAAAATCAGGAAATTGGGGTAATATTTAAGGTTTCCATATTTTCTGTAATTACAAAATTTCTCCCCATTTTTCTGCCCATGGAAAAATAATGAACGAAAAAGAAATTCTTGTTTTATTTGTCAAGTTTAAAATAAAACATTTTCTGTTTCTACTATGTTATCAGAAATATTCAATATGTCAAGATAGATAATTTGAACATCTCTATGTCATGGATTCTTCTGGTAATGTAGGAAAGTATTAAACCAACAAAAAATACTATATTTTATATATGTGGATTCTTTATACCATTTTCTTCATTTTGTTGTTTTTAATACATTCCAGCAGATATATTCTCATGCCTTCTTAATATTTATGTTACACTTGGTGATCTTTTAAAGTTACTTAGTACATTTTTGTTTTCTTTTTCATCTCTTCAACCAGAACATCATGGATCTAAGTGTTAAGGTCTCATATTAGAATTATTAATATTAAAAGAGGTGAGATTAGAAGAGTTTTGTCTATTTTTCTCAAAGAATCAAACTTTTTTTTGTTGATCATTTTTTTAAGAACATTAATAATTACATTATATCAGAGCAGAAATTCTTCAAAAAATTTTCCATGATGGAACTCTCTACAAGAAATATCAAGAGACAAAGCTTTCTCAATCTTACCTGTTTTCATATTAACAAGAGACCTTAACATTCAGTCCTGAGATTCAATTGATGTGGAGTGTTCAAGTTGAGGTGTTGGTTTCAATCTGCTTGGAATGATCACTCATTTCCTCCCCAAATTTATAGACAAATCCTACAGATGTATGCTAGGATTTTTTCCTAACCAATAAAAATGAACAGCTTCTTGGTCTCATCTACCATATTTTTGTTCTTTCTTGTCTTGAAGTGAGAATGCTAAAATCACTTGACTGTATCCCTTTTACATGTGAGCACCATTCTTACTTTGTGAACTTTTTTCCTTGTTACTGCTGCTTTGCCTAGTTTTGACTTGCATATATATTGTTTGCCTAGTATTATTTTGCAGTCCTTTTTCTTCCTTTTCTTATTGTTTATTGAGAACTTTATCAATTCTGTTTGGGCATTTTGCCAATTACCCTTAAACATGGCCAATTATGTGACAGAAGGAAATAAGGAGAAATAGTAAATTTAACAGGAAAGATTGCAACATGCACTTGAGAATACATTTGCAAAAATTTAGTGTTACTGGCCAGAAAGATAAAGAAAATAGTTTGAAAAATGTTGACTGCTGTCACTTATGCAAGTTGAATATGCGGCACTTGTTAATGAATTTTTATCTTATTATTTTCAGGCCAGCTAATGAATTTGATTGAACAGTACAGACAAGACGTATTGAACCAGAAACCTCTTTGTTCAGATGAAATCAGTCTTTTTGACTACATCTACCAACAGTGTAGTGCTGATTGAGCATTTTAATTCAAGATGATAGAAGATGGTTTGACTGGAAACTATCCGGCCTGCAATTGTTATGACTGCTGCTGATATTAGTGCTACTACTACATTTTTACTGCTGCTGCTGCTGCTGCTCTTAGAAGAAGAAGAAACAAAAACAAAATCAAAGAATCTTGCCAAATGTCTGTCTGTGTCTGATCCACCTGCTGCTTGCTACCATTGATGAAGACTGGGGAGTGCTCAGTCTCCCTCAGCACAGTGTGGGTCAGTGTAGGTTGAGATTCCTGCTTGAATTGAAATCCGGGAAAGGAAATTGTAGCTGACGCCATTTCTTTCTTTTCACTGTGATTCATAATTGGTAATTTTGACCTCTTTCCCCACCCCCTACTGCTGCACTGGATCTCAGGTTTGATGGATTTCACAAATCTTTTTTATTGATGCAAATTAAGAGGGAATACAAATATTTAAATTTTTGCAAATTGTTTATAAAATAAGTATTTTGTCAAGACAAGTACAAGATGTTATAAGTAGATGTGGGTGTGTATGTGCACCCATAATTATATATTTCTGGGTGCACCCCTAAAACTATACAAATATGTGTGTGCTTGTGTTATAAATGCATCTCTAAATATATATATATATATATATATATATATATATATATTTATATGTGTATCCATATCTATATATATATATATATATATATATATATATATATAAATATACATATATATATCTCTCTCTCTCTCTCTATATATATATATCTATATCTATATCTATACATATACATTTTTTATATTTACATATCTACATATTTATATATATATATATATTATCTCATGTATTTATATATATATATATATATAATATTTACATACATTTGAAGTGTGCATTTATATATATGAATGCTGATAGTCATGTACATATAGTACACATGCATATATATGCATCACTCTCTTTTTTCTCTCTCTATATATATATATATATATATATCTATATATAATTAAGTAATGAAAAGTGTGGTAATCTGTATGAATGATCCCAAGGAGGACATAATCTAGAGAGCTCAATGTCAAATCAGAGCAATTATTAATTCAAATTCAATAGAAAACAGACAACCTTAAGGGTCCATAGGTTGTAATTTACTTCCTCAGGTATATGGTTTTTACCTGGTTCATCAGACCGCACTTCCAAGGGTGAAAAAAATGTTTTAAATTTTTCTCACCCTTGGAATCTCGGTCTGTTGAAACAGGTAAAAACCATATACCTGAGGAAGTAAATTATAACCTATGGACCCTTAAGGTTGTCTGTTTTCTATTGAATTTGAATTCTTCTGCTATTAGAACCCTTAAACTTACCTAGTCTTGTTGCTTTACCTTCCAGGCTATCCTTTCTGTTTCTGCCTCTAAATCTTTCATTTACTTTGTATTTCCTGCAGAACTGCCCCCAAATCCTGTTTTTGCTTTCTGACTTAGCAAACTTTGGTTAAATGTTTTCATTTCTATAGACAACACTTACCCAGCCTCTCCTTATGAATTCACTACAGGGATCCCAGTTTTAGCCTTCCTCTTATAATTGACTACCCTCCACTCCAAGTATATCTTATCAATGAGTGAGAGATATTCAATTCTGCCATGTTTTCAGCCGCCATTAGAAAAAGCACACATACACACAAACATATATCTTCACACACATGAATAGAAAATGGAAAAGTCCTGTGTGACAAGTTTCATCCTTCAAAAGGACTTCTTCAGGTTAAATAATGTTTTTTATTGATGGTATCTGCTGTCCATGTGTTTATAATCCTTTGAATAAAAACAGTTTTTTAGTTGGAAGAAGTCATTTTGCAGAATAAAACATGTCCTATAGGACATACAACTACACAACACACACACACAAATATATATATATATATATATAAGCAATTTACACATTTTTTTAATTCAACATTATTTCTTTTTACTATAAATATTTACATGTGTTTTTTTTTAAAAAAAAATCAAATTAATGTCTACTGGCCTAGACATTGAAAGTCCCACAAAAGAAAATATGCCACCTGACCTGAGTATGGTAACTGAACTTTGCTTTGCTGTGATGGCTTCTCATGGCACCATGTTAAAGCACACTTGCTTTGAAAGTGGATAAAAAAGGAGTAAGGATTTATTTCCTTTCAGTAGCACATTTTCTTATTTTAGAATGTCTTGGCTGGTAGACATTAATTTCACTTAGAAAAAAATAACAAATGTGTACCCACTGAATATAACATTTATAGTAATAAGAACACGCACAAACTTAATTACTGCGTATATACACATGCAAACACCAATGCAAGTACTCTCAAATCTAACACCTTCACAAATACCTATCTTTTACTCATCTCAAACAAATATATATATATATATATAAACACCTGCACACTTGTATGTGTATGCATGCATATAGACACACACACACACACACATAAGCACAGTAGGCTTGGTTAGATGAGGTAATCTGTGGCTACCTACTTTATTCTATTTGTAAAATACTGTGTAAATCACTTGGGCAATAAAGGAAAAAAATTGTTAACTGAAAAGTGTTTATATTGACTTCTGTAAGAAAATTTATTGATGCCAATGCAAAAATAAAGACACAGAATTTACCAATTTGCAAAAATTCCTGTTTATTGGAACATCATTATTCTGTCATTTGATTAATATATTGAGATATGTAATTTTGTTCAATTGTTATTTGTCATTCCCAAGTGAACAGGTGGCATTCCATGACCTTCCTGGTCTTGATTTTGCATTTCCTTGCCTTCCCTGGTCATCTATTGCATTTCATGGTCTTCCTGGCCCTGATTTTGCATTTCATTGCCTTCCCATTCATCTATTGCATTTCATTGCCTTCCCGGTCATCTATTGTATTTCCGTACCTTCCCTGGTCATCTACTGCATTTCATGGTTTTCCTTGCCCTGATTTTGTATTTCATTGACTTCCCAGATCTATTGCATTTCTTTGCCTTCCTGGTTTTTCATTTTGCATTTCATTGCCTTACTGATCATCTATTGCATTTCATGGTCTTCCTGGAACTTATTTTGCATTTCATTGCCTTCCCAGTCATCTATTGCATTTCATTTTCTTCCTGACTCTGATTTTATATTTCATGACCTTCCTGGACATCAATTGCATTTCATGGCTTTCCTGGTGCTTGTCTTTTGCCACTTGACATTTCTTAATTGCTTCTGAAACTTTTGAAAGTTTCATCATGACTTTAGCAATTACATCACTTGTTGAGCTGAAATTTCATGGTTTTTTAATTTTTGATGAATTATAATTCTTAAGTTAATGATTTGAATAAGCTCCTTGAGAGTTAAATGATAATAAAATACCTGTGGAATTTCTCCCATTGCATCATTAAATATTTGAGCTTAACGAAAATATTGTAATAACAATAATTAAGCCATTATTTAAAGAAGTAAGAGTGTACAAATTGTAAAGATTTAGAATTGATAAGTTTTTCCATTTTGTTGAAGCAGATGTTAAACACAACAGAGAATTATCGCTTCCTCTATCTTCTCTCTCTTTTTCTCACTGGAACCAAACAGTGTCTCTTACATGTCTTTCCTCAAAATGGAATAGTGCATTATTTAGGGGGGTGAAAGAATAAGAAAAATGTTTGGCAACATAAAAAGGAATGGAAACAGTGTATTTAAATATAGTGTTGAAAGATATTAGAATATGACAAAACCATCCCAAAGATCCGAGGGGTGAAACTGCAGTAGCAATATTAGCTATATAATGTTGCGATATCTTTTTAAGGTAATATTAAAAATATTGCTCTAGGGACTAGATATTGAGCACTTTATAAATTCTGGAATTGGATGTGAGCACATTGATATGAATATTTTAATTTGACTATAGTGTGGAGATGAAAATAAAGTGATTAAAAAAAAAAAATCTGATTATTGGTCATTTAGTGAAATTTGGAGAAAGTAGGTCAAGAGAGGAACTTCAATTAATGTAGATATTGTCCAAAATATTTGTGATCAAGCACTTTCAATCAGATTTATGGAATAATTTTTCGACTGCCATTTATGTACGTAGTGAAATACAATCAAAATTTTTCACTGGATTAAAAATAAAAGCACTTTCCACTCGGCCTTCAGGCTATGATTACTGTGTAGTATCTGTTAATCTCTTTGGCCATGTACTTGCCTTTTTTTATTTTGATTTATTTTTTTTTACAGCTCATCAGCTTTTAGTTATTTAAAGCTGAAATCCTTTTTTGTGAGTGAATTTTTTCAGATCATAATGATTTTCAGATACAAGTCTTGCTATTTAATCCGTAGATGGGAGGAAAGGAGAAGAGGTGGATTCATACCTTTTCCTCAACTATTTGACATAAGTGAATATAACAACTCTGACTGGAATTTGAACATGTCTGTCCAAGTTCAAATTCTGAGCCATTATCCAAGGGCATTTATACATAAGTTAATGCAACAAACCTTACTGGAATTAGAATGTGGCTCTTTGATTCCAAGCCTTATATCCATTACAACACCTGCACATCCATGCTTAAAGCACCTGGTATTCCCAAGTAGTCACCCATCTAGGTACTGACCAGGCTTGATGTTGCTTAACTTTGGTGATCACACGAGAACTGGTGTTTCAATATGATTTGGCTGTAAACCTTTTTTGTTTTGTATAGGATGAGGAAAAACATGAAGTAAACTTGGTCCTGGAGTAACACTTCACTCTTTGTACAATAACAAGAGCATTAGCGTACTGATACCGACAAGACACTGGTTGCAGGGCCCTAGCTTCATGGAGAGTTAAAATTAGTATCTCTCAGTTGCTGTATGTCGGCTCGTGTTTGACATAATTATAAACACATATAGTAGCACAAGCAAATGAAACAGCAAGTACCACCAATGAGGCAAAAAGAAAAGAAGTCAAGAATTGTTCATATAAAATTATTTGTATTGCAATACAGAGAATGTGAGTGGAATGTCTGTAATGTGGGCAAGGGAAGCAGCTTTTGAGGAAGGGTAGAGTTGGTAAGGCCTGTAGTAGATGGTCGAGATCACGGGTGGTGGTGTTTAGAGCTTGCCAGGCGTTGACAACTAGTTCTTTTGCCACAAATCTATCTTTGCTGATACAAAGGATGTGAGCGGAATGTCTCTGTGGATATGGTGTGTAGATTTGGATGTAGGTGGGTCTTGAGTGGATATATGCATCCAGTGCTTATGTCAAGAGCCTTCTAGGCGTTGATAGCTAACCTATTCGCTGCAGTTCTACTGGAGTTGTTTATGACCAGCTTTGTTAAAAGCAAATTGTAGAGGCTTCTTAGCTCATCTTTTGTTCAATTTTTTTTCTCTGATGGCAACATTCGTAATTGGGTCTATTTTATGTAGTTATTTTATATTCTTGGGAGGATTTGTTTTGTGCACCAGATGTGATGCTCGGGGCTCCTGCGCATAATTTTTTTTTTTAATTTTCCGTTTTGTTTTCTTAGCATTCACATCTGGCCGACAGTGAATCTGAAAGAGATCTAATTTGAAACGGAATCTAACAACATCATTAGATCCAGACAAGCATTCTCGTATTCAGAAACAAGAAGTCTTGAGTAAAATGTAAAAACAAAAAATTCTTTGTCTTCTTTCATTAAACTTGTATGAATTAAATGCTGCTACCTAAATACACAATGTCCGTGTATATATATATATATATATATATATATTACATAATGTGCATCCGTATATATGACAGGGTGCAGAAATTCCCCCCTGTTAATATTATAGAAATATCATGACATGTTTATACAAGCAAAATTGCGTTAAAGAAACTTAACAGCAATTAACACTGTAGATAAATACTTTTAACATTCGACCCATTTAAATATGTATAACATCTTAAAAATTAGCTTCATTATAATTACTTTTATTTATAGCATAGAGACAAGGCAGATGATCAATTTTCTTTACATAATTTGACTTTTATTTTAATATTCAGGAAGTGCTGGATCTAAATAATAAAATGCAGACTAACATAATGTATTTTATTTTATATATCTATAGCAAGGAGTCAAGGCTAAATGTCAATTGTCAACCTAAATTAATTTACTTTTAGTTTAATATTTAAAAAGTATTGGATAATTTTTTTTTAATTGTTTCACCTCAAGCAATGCAATAATGCCACTAAAATTCATAGGGCTACATGGAGTGAAAGAGAATAAGAAGACCGAGAATAGGGGGTGGGATTGAGGAAAGGACAAAAAAGGAACAGGGTTCACGAAGACAGAGGATGGCGATAGAAGATTGTAGTTACCAGGAAAGCAAGAAAATGAGAGGGAGTTCCACGGTTTAGAAGTGCGAGAAAAGAAACTGTTGGAGTATAAGTGGCGGTTGTCTCTAGCTAGTTCAGCAGCAAAATGGACTGACCTAATTACCAATCTAATAGAACGCTTAAATTCATGTAATCGGGGTACTGGAGAAAAAAAAATCATAAGAGCAGTTGCCATTAAAATATTTGTAGAAAAGACAGAGGGATGCCACGTCATGTCAGTGAGAAAGTGACTGTAGTCGAGATGCCTGGTCAGGATCTATTACATTACAGACCCTTCTTTGGATTTTGTCAAGAATCTCGAGATGTACAGCAGGAACACCAGACCAGATATAGCAACAGTATTCAACGCTCAGACGAATGGTAGATTTATAAATGCAAGATGGATTCTGACGTAAAAACATCAGCACAGTGAGCCAACTTTCCTTGTAGTAGACAATTGATCCGATATAGTCGCTCCACGTCATCTAAATTACACAGAAATGAAAATGACACTGACATCTCATTTTAACAGTTATATTTATAAAAAATATCTTGAAGTACTAAAGAGTAAATTTATTCAATAAAATCGCAATTTGGCTTCAACCACGGTCTCCAAACGATTTCGGAATCTCCTGCAACTCTTCTGGACAGTCTCCTTGTTTAAGTTGGTGAATGCTGCCATAATCCTTACTTTCAGTTCATCTTTGGTGTTACAAAGAGGTTTGTTGGTCTCTCACTCAACTGCGCCCCACACATAATAAAGGGGGATGCAGTCTAGGGAGTTAAGTAGCCAGATGTAAGGGGTGATGTGATGTCGCATTTTTATCTGACAGCCATGACTGGGTTCTTCTGCTTGTGTGGCATAATGCAGAGTCCTGCTGCCAGACATAGTCTTCCAGCAGTTACCCTCTTGACCAAGAGCAGCACTACTTTCCCAAGGCACTTGATGTAGGCCTTTGTGTTAAATCTGAGGCCGTGTGAGAAGATGAATGGTACATCTTTTGGGGACACAGCAAGCCAACGGTTGTTCTGTGGGTTCACCATTTGTTCCTTGCAGAAATTTTTCTCAACCGAAAAAAATAACATCATGTTCAGTTGGAAGGGATACTTGAGTTTGTTCAAAAGCTTCGTAGCGCGGTCTTTCCTCCTGTCCTCCATGGCTTGGGATAACAATTGGGCCTTTTTCATCTTGTATGAGAAATACTGAATACTTTCATGCAGTATCTACCTGAAAAGAAACTCAGGCACTCCTGTATCCCAAGCTATGGGCCTGATTAACTTGGAGAGATTGTTATCAATCATGGCCTGGATCTTTACAACAAATTCGAGAGTTTTGTTTTTGTTAGAACAGAGTGAGTTTTCCGATCTGTCGTACCTTCGTAATCACCATTAGATTCATCCAACTCTGCAATGTCCTCAGGTTGACACTGAAACACTCTGAAATGTTGGTATTGTTGCTTCCGGCGCGAATGCCAAGCAGTACAGCATACCGTTTCTAAATTTCCGGCACAGTGAATTGTATCATGTTACTCTTTTTCTCACAGAAGGTGCCTATAATATATTTTGGCAATTAAAACCATTTCTAATTAAATACTGTCTTTTATTGCATTTTTTATTTTACGATTCAGATCTTTCTTTTTTTTTTTTTTTTTTTTTTTTTTTTTTTTTTTTTGGCTGAAGGTCCCGTTTGACCAAAAAAAATAATGATTTAAATTCTCCGAGGATTATCCTTATAATTAATACAAAGACTAAGCTTAAAAAAAAAAAAAAAGAATTTCTTGAAATTTCATAAAATTAAATAACTGGGGGCCAACAGATGTAAAAAGATATATTTTTACCAAAATTTTCTAAAAAGGAAAAGTTTCAAAAGTAAGCTCTGTAAGTTTCATTAAAATCTGACAATTACCTGATTTTTGCAAGAATTTCTAAATCAATGTGTTTTTCACCGCAAAAAAGACGCTCAGATCTGCCATACAAATGTATGGTCCCACGTTGATGTCAGAAAAACAAGATTTTTAATCAAAATTTCGAAGGTTCTAAAAAGGATATAAAAAGAATAATTTTTCATAAAAAAATAATTTGGTCTTGTATGTAATAATGACACAAAGATTTTAAGAGTAAGACTTTGTTTTATTAAGTTTTGGACATTTATATCATCATGTATGCTCATTATTTATGGAATTTCAATTTTAGTATTTTTGGTGGTACACAGTACTAATATATATATATATATATATATATATATATATATATATATATTGTGCGTATGTGTAATTGATATGAAATATCCTACAATATATATATATATTAACGCTCTATCTTCGATATTGAGCAGTCTTCCCCTGTCATAGCAAATTTGCAGCAATCTATATGTAAGTAACCATGTCATTTTTATGTGCACTATGCTAATATTTAATAAACTTACATTAAAAAAATGCAAAGGGCGCTAGCCGTAGATTAGAGTTAAGAGTTACTTTTTTAATTTCTCAATAAAAATGTTTTGATATTTTGCACTTGAAATAGTTTAGCACACAATACGTGTCTAATTTAAACTAGATTATATTTGTCACGTGAAACAATACGGATCTACCTTTTTTGTTGCTTTTTTTTAAATGTATTTGGTTCTCAAGACTGTGCAGCGCCAGTTTCTGAATCATCTTGATTCTCCGAGGATTCTTTCGTCGTTTTGTCTTTTTCTTGTTCTGTTTTCTCATCTTCCTTCGTTTCTCTTTCTTCAAAATGTTTATTCTCTTCCGTTTTTGTTACACTGTTTTTTCCTTCGGATTTTCCTCCCTTCTTCTTTTCACCCGCTTTTGGACGTCTTTCCTTTGTCACCTCTGACCTTTGTGACCGATTAGTGTCCACTGTCGTGTCTTTCTCGTCTTCTGTTTCATAATCCAGGCTATAGTCGTCATCATCTTTTCTGTGACTCGTCGCTTGACTTCCCATGTTTCGACTTTTTCGAACGCTATCACTGGGCACTCGTTTGTCATAGGATTTCTGTAAAAGACACGGAAAAACAAAACTGTTACCGAAGTCGGTGATAATTGTACACACTACGCATATTAATTGATGAAAATATTTTAAAGTACCTAGATTAATTATATATATTTTTTAATCAAGTTCGTCCAAGCAAAGCAGTAAAGCAACTAAGACACAATCGGTTACTGTATGTGAAAGAATTAGAAAACAGAAAACATTAAGAAGGAGTGAGAACAATAGAAGAGTAATCAGGAGGACCGTAAATAACGATTGACATTGTATTTAAATTTTTGAAGATCAATGTTGACTGGAAAGCATGGAGAGTTCCACAAGCAAGAAGTGCAAGAAAAGAAACTGATCATAGAACTTACGGTTACATCTAGCCAATTCAACTGTAAATTGATGAGACCTTGCTGTTAATCTAGTACTGCGCTTAAATAATTAAAGTTTAGGTACATTAGCGAAGAGTTCATTCGAACAATTACCATGAAAGTATTTATAGAAAAGGCACATGGAAGCAATATATACGGTGGTAGGAAAATGTAAGTGTTCAGATCAGTTGCATCTGGATGAAGGATAAGCTATATAAACCCGAGTCGTCATGAGAGGCACAGACTTTGTAAGTAGCGATTGTGAACGAATTGCGAATACGACTACTACACAACACGGCACTAGCTCTATTTTGATTCCACCCCCGCTTATCTGTTGCCATGGAAACTACCTAGAAAGATGTTCAGTTTGAAGAAAAAATTATTATTTGGTAATGATGAACTGAGAAGACATAATGTCAGGTTGTCAACAAGAGGAACAGTCCAAGGTAGGAACTTTGAATTGGAGACACTAAAATCAAGCAACTACTTTGGCGAGTGGCGAGTGTTTTAACAGATGATGGAAAATATGACAGCAAAATCCGAAAGCGCATTGGTATGACGAAAGATAGCTTCCGATGACGAATAAAGTAGTAAGAATGTCGTGTCCATAAATAAATAAAAATTAATTATAGTGTCAAAAATAATTGTAATGTTTTCGTGAAACACATCTGTTTGATACTTTGGTACACATTATCAGTGAGATTTCGGCACCTCGAGATGGTTAGCAAGCTTGTTTCACAAGAACAATTACGACTTAGTAGTGAGTTTGATCGTCACTGGGTGTCCTCTACTTTCGGCTTTGTGCCACATCGAAGCTACGCTTGGAAAATTAGTGCACCTCGAGGCGGTGTAATGGTTAGCAAGCTTGCCTCACTAGAACAATTACGACTGAGTAGTGAGTTCGATCCTCACTGGGTGCGCCATACTTTCGGCCTTGTGCCACATCTAAAATACGCTTGGAAAATCAGTGTACCTCGAGGCGGTGTAATGGTTAGCAAGCTTGTCTCGCAAGAACAATTACGACTTAGTAGTGAGCTCGATCTTCACTGGGTGCCCCTTACTTTCGGCCTTGTGCCACATCTAAACTACGCTTGAAAAATCACCATCATCAGTGAGGTTTTAAGTCGAAGTTCATTACGGGTTTCATGTCTTTCAACATCATACCCTCTCTCCATGGTGATCCAACCGATACCGACCAGGTATCGTCTTGTGTGCTATCTGTCAACTAAAACTTTCCTCATTTTTAATCAACACACTGCGACTCCTCTAGGCAATTTATAGTCCAATGACGGATAACTACCGGTTCACCAGTAATCTATACTCTTCCATAAAAAGGAAGCAAACGCAGTAACGGTTTCGCTCTGCTAAGGAGTATGGCGACGCGTTCGTCTTGAAGTGAGAAGCAACAACCTTTGTTTCCCCTCACTGAGATATATACATACACACACACACACACACACACACACACACACACCCGTAAACACACACCCGTAAACACACACATGAGACCGATTCTACTCACTCTTATTTTCATTCATGTTAATCATCCAATCAAAAAATGTAACCCCCTCTTCATGTGTTCATTGTGTATTAAACCCACCCTCAAAAAACAGTAACTCTGGTAAGGAGCAAAAAGGTACTAGACCTTAGCCACAATTCACCCATAGGTAACAAAGGTTCAAGGTACCTTAATTCTGTCCCCTAGTTGAGACTCCATTGTCAGGTGTAGTTTTAGGTCATATCCAAGACCCTAGTAACTCCGAAATAAATAAAATAATTATAACAATTATCATCATTTTTTCTAAGTCAATGAGAATCGACCACACCTTTCTCCTCTACACACTCAAACACGTGTCATTCTTACTACCGGACAAACAGACAATACAGACAGGCCGTCAACGCGTACGTCAACGAAAATTCCGACTCTTTTCAATTTTCAGGCCATAATAGCATTTATCTATGCACTCAACAAAAATTCGAGATAACCCCACCCCGACACTTGTATTTTCCAACTAAATAATCTGGATACTCATTATACACATCTATAACAAACATGCAAGAAAGAGTGTATACTTATTTTTTATCTTATCATTCTGTCGAATTCCGATCCATATCCATATTGACCCCAAACTCACAATTTTACTCAATATTACTGTCGCTTCTGTCTCCAATACCACATAACAAGTAAGTAATTAATAATACCCATTTCGTTGTTTTCACGTCTTGCTGTTTCTCATTTTTACGAGTATTTTTGTATATATAAGTGTAAGGGCATTTATAATCATTTGACGCAAGAAAAACAAAATTTTTTACTAAAATTTCGAACGTTCTAAAAAGGATAAAAATAAAAATATAATTTAATAATCAAAAATTCCTTTGGTCTTTCCTCTTAATAATAATAAAAATTTTGATGATAAAACGTTGTTTTTATTAAGTTTTTGGCACTTTTTCATCATATATACTGTAGGGATATTATTATTATTATTATAAATAAATAAAAATAAAATATAAAATAATAATAACAATGAAACTTATAAATAAAATAAAATAAAACAATAATATTTAAACCCCATTTAAAATAAATAAAAAATAAAAATAATAAAATTACTCCCAGCATACAACAAAAACTGTTCCTGTCGGAAATACGGACATCCCGCTTAAAGATGTTATATTCAATCTCTTCGCCAAGAACCCACAGGCAGGCACCACGTGTCCGACGTGATATGGCTTTAATACTACGGAGTAAATTATCATTTATCAAATGCACCATAAAACAGTTGTATCCTAAAAAATACGCACAAAAATATAAATGAATTGTATGAAATTAACATACAATTTACCGAGCTTCTCCTGTTATTTCTGCACGTTTTATTTTCTATCAGGTATGCTTTTATCTTCGTGAACACGAAGTTAATTTTGTTCGAAGAAAGGATGTTTTTAATAGGAGTTTTGTTTTCAGATTTTTAATCTAAGAAAAAGGTTACTTTTTTTTTTTGCTAAGATTAAGCCACCCAGACAAAATTCATCATTGTATCCTGCAATACTTTGTTATCATTTTTCTACTGACAATAACCGTTTTTTAGTTACAACTTACATAACAATTTTTTACCTTATGTATCTTTAAACGTGCAAGTAAAAGTGGGATTTTTTTTCTATTTATATGTTTACTTTGACATTATTTTATTTTTATCGTTCTTAACATGAAACGGTGGCAGAAAAGAAGGTCATTTCTTTTTTTACAAATTCGAAAAGAATTCTTTTTCTTTGTAAAGTTTCTTTTTTTTCCACAGTGAACACGCTCAACATCAGCAACAACGAAACGCTCAAGTCAAAAAGACAAGACTATAGTGACATCCAGAATCGTGTTGAGACAAGCTTAGGTGTTATATTGTTGTCACGGTCCGAGAGGGGGAGGATTGGAGACGTTGAAATGAATTACCGGTCGTCTGAATACTTCACTTTGTATCAGTCTAGAGCGGATCCAACACAAAGAAAACAAAACTAAAAACAAAAAAGAAAGAAAAAAAGTAAATCATTGACTTGTTTACTTGCAAATCATTTGGTTCTTGATAAATATTCTCAACTGGTAGCCAAAAAAAAAAAAAAAACTCACACGAAGTCACTTTATATCTCATTTTCATGATCGATCATGTTTTTCAAGTAACTGATAATTTGACGTAAACACATAATGTACTGATCTCGCAATCCTTGAACAGGAAGTTTAATTTCGATTAAGTACTCGAAAATATAACTTTTGAAAGTAAAATACTATTTTTTTAAATCGTTTTACCACAAGCAAGGCGATAATGCCACTAAGACGTAAGGAATTTACAGGAAGTGAGAGAGCATGAAGAAATTTTAATTTTAATTTTTTGTTTTGTTTTTAGATTTCTTATTTATTTTTTATTGTTTTTTTGTTTTGTTTTGTTTGTTTTTTTATTGTCATTTCTCCCAAAACAAGGCAATAATGTTGCTAGGATGCAGGGGTTTACGGGAAGTGAAAGAGCATGAGAATATTTTAGTGAGGAGGAAGGAACATGACTCACTTCAGGAAGACCGAAGATGGCGATTGACATTGCATTTAAATTTATGAAGATTGTAAGTGGCAGAGAAATAATAAATCGGAAGATTGATTCGTTTTTTATGGTTTATCAACCCTTTGCAGGTTATTTAAAGCCAGAAAGTACTTTTAGATTGTAAGAATTTTTTAGATAATAATAGTCTAGTGATATTAGTTTTACTAATTAACCCATAGCTGGGGGTAGATTTACCAAGGGTATACATTTACCAATTTGTGCGTAAGAGAATATAACGAACTGGAATTGTAACTTGGTTCTCCGATTAACAATTCCAAGCTATTATCTATTACACCACACACACATCCAAGCTAACAGCACCCGGTATTTCCAAGAAGTCATTCATCTAGCTACTGACCAGGTTTAATATTGCTTAACTTTGGTGATCGTATGGGAGCCGATGTTTCAACGTTATGCGGCCGTAAGCCAAGGAATTGGAACGAGTTCTACAGGTGAAAAGTGCAAGAAAATAAAGTATTAGAATAGAACTAATGGTTACATTTAGCTAGTTCGACAATATATTGGTGAAATGCAGTTACCAATCTAGTTGCATGCTTAAATTCATGAAGACAATGGACTAAAGCGTAAAGCTCATCAGAATAATTGCCATGAAAATCTTTGTAGAAAAGACAAAAGAAAGCCACGTCACATCGATAGGAAAGTGACTCAAGTCCAGGTACTAAGTCAGGACCGAGTACATTACAGACTCTTCTTTGAATTGTGTCCAGAATCTCGAGATAAGTAGCAGTATCTCCAGACCAGATAAGGCAGCAATATTCAATGCAAGGACGAATAGTAGATTTAAAAATGTGCAAGAGGGATTCCGATGAGAACAATTGTCTGGCACAATACAGTGAGTCAACTTTCCTAGCAGGAGACTTAGCAATTGATTCAGTATAATCACTTCACTTCTTATCAGTGGAAAACGTGAGTGCACGGAGGTGCAAAGTATTACTCTGTAAGAGTTTAGTATCAGCAATGCTGATGGCAGACCTATTGTCGGTCAGTGGATTTAGTACTTAGCACGTAAGCGCTTTATAGCGATTTTAATCCCCAGTTGATGTTTTTAAAGAACTCTCTCTGGAACTTCGTTTAGACTAGCACAAGGCTACAGCAGAAAGATACCCAGTGTGAATTAAACGCTCTACAAGTCAGAACAGACCAAAAATGGAGAACTGCTGCCATATCTGGACGGGTGCTGCTCAGTCCTCACTTTCCAGCTTTGACAGCTTGAAAGAGTATACGCAACCTTGTGAGACTTTGTAAGCATATCACACCTCTATTGTTATTTCCATAGTAAATGTTCAGTTCCACCAAGACCTTTAAAGCCTCTTTCTACTCTAGCTATTTCCAACCAGTTCTTAGTTCCACCAGTTCAGACCTTTACATCTCAGCCTCTTTCTACTCTATCGCTATTTCTATGGCAAATGTTCAGATGAGCTACATTCCTTAGTTCCACCAGTTCAGACCTTTTTACTCTATCTATTTCCTCTATTCAGATAATCTATCATTTCTATTTACCATCCATGGCAATTATTTCCATGCAAATGTTCAATATTCCTTAGTTCCACCATTTCAGACCTTTACATCTAAGCCTCTCTCTACTCTATCACTATTTCCATGGCAAATGTTCAAATGAGCTACATTCCTTAGTTCCATCAGTTCAGACCTTTCCATGGCAAACATCTAAGTTCAGACCTCTTTCTAAGCCTCTTTCTATCACTATTTCCATGGCAAATGTTCAGATGAGCTACATTCCTTAGTTCCATCAGTTCAGACCTTTACATCTAATCTCGCTATTTCCACGGCAAATGTTCAGATGAGCTCTCTTAGTTCCACCAGTTCAGACCTTTACATCTAAGCCTCTTTTCTATTTCGCTATTTCCATGGCAAATGTTCACATTCCTTAGTTCCACCAGTTCACACCTTTTACATCTAAGCCTCTTTCTACTCTATCACTATTTCCATGGTTCAGATGACCAGTTCACCAGTTCAGACCTTTACATCTAAGCCCTCTTTCTACTATCACTATTTCCATGGCAAATGTTCAGATGAGCTACATTCCTTAGTTCCACCAGTTGTTTTACATCTAAGCCTCTTTACATCTAATTTCCATGGCAAATGTTCAGATAAGCTACATTCTTACTTCCACCAGTTACATCTAAGCCTCTCTACTCTATCGCTATTTCCATGGCAAATGTTCAAACGTTCCACCAGTTCAGACCTTTACATCTAAGCATTCCTTAGTTCTATCGCTATTTCCATGGCAAATGTTCAGACATTTACAGCTAAGTTCAATGGGGTTCCAGCTAAGTCTCTCCCTACTCTATCGCTATTTCCATGACAAATGTTCAGATGAGCGATATTCTTTAATTCCAACAGTTCAGACCTTTACAGCTCGGCTACGCCATGCATCCACAGTCGAATCATCCTCATATTGTTCGTATTTCATTGGTAAGAAGGGTGTTCTACTTAGACAGCTTCTTCACAAGAACTGCTACTCTTTGGGAGAAAATCTCATGTGGATTCTTATCCAGTCATTACAATCTTAAGCTCCAGGATCAACCGTTATCTAGCCTACGTATCCTCATAATCTGCACTTACTTCCTCCTCTTTCGTTCAGAATACAATCTCATTCAGTAATCTTCTACCTTGAGTGGCTGTCGAGCCTTGTGAAATTTAGTGAAGAAAAAGGAAATACATGTGAAGAAATTTGATCTTCATCAAATTAGCAACTGGTTATTATATTTAATTATTATTCCATCTTACTTTCAGTATTACATATATTTGGTGAGAGGGCGTATCTGTGGAAATAGTGCCTATGACAAGCATTGCTAATTGTATCACTGTTTAAATATCTAACACAATGACACGTTACCCTTTAGATAGTTTTACCATGATATCATAAATAAAAGTCAAGCTCATTAAACTTTTAATTGATTATGGCACTACATGAAAATTATTACTGCACCATCGTTGCTTTTCCTAATGCAAATTAGTCAGTGATGTGTACAAAAGCAGATCTGGGTGTCTGCCATGACCCATGTATGTTTATCTAATAATTTATACAATTAGTTTAACAATCTGGTCATGATAATTAAAGAGAGCTTCTCGGGCATCTAAAGAAAATTGTTTTTTCGTTTTTCATTCTTCAAGGTTATCTGGACTTCAACAGACACTGTTCATTCAATATCTCCACTTTTCTAAACGGCACACACCGTGTACTCTAAGCAGCATACACCGTGTACACTAGGTGGCACACGCCGTGTACTCTAAGCGAACTCCTCACACTTCGAAATATGTTTCGGCTTTAAATTAGTCACATAACGTTAAGACGTAAAAATCGAATCAATCAATACAAATGGCATCCCAAGGTTGTATGCTCAACCACTGAGAAACGTGTGAAGTGTTCCGCGTGACAAGTTTGTTGTCATTCTCAACCTGGCGCCTTCAATATCAGTATACTTTTAGACTGGCACAAGGCCGCAATATTAGCGCATATATTGCAGACCGAACTCTCAACACTAGGAAATTGCTCCGTTAGATTACACGCATACACATTTATTTGTATAAATATATTGTTTAACATTTGCTATATCTATGGGAACGAATGGCCAATAATGGAGATAAAGCCTTTATGGACATAGGCGTCAACTCTGCATGGCGACTCATTTTCAGGTTTCTCTGACTTTGCTCAAAAGAGTTTTCCTTTCGTAATCGAGTAGTCAGTGAAGGTGGACGTCACATCAAGGACACCAGATGGAATTAATTAACTCTCAAGTTCTATAGACTCCACCGAGGTGTAAGGGGCCAAAACTCCCAACAACACTGAGTGCTACTGCTATAGTTCCTGTAATAAGTAGGTTTTTACAGGATGAAATTGCTAGCTTTATACCCAACAGATTTTGAATTCAAACTTGTCCTTCTTCTAGGCTGTTTGCCAATTGTTGTGGAGTTATTTCGCAGTGGAGGTTTGTATTTGTACTAAATTGGTCTTAAATTGGTTCGACGTACAAAACGATAGGAACTTGATATACTAGGTATTACGCAGAGTAATCTTGTTGTGGTCGCTGACTACTTTCGTATTCGACTAACTGTCAACTACTGTCGTCCGACATCGACTGATCCTCGTTTCTCTTACTACTCCTACTTATATTAGGTGGAAGAGTCTATTAACTATAGAATAGGTGTGTTTCACCATAACACCAACCAAGGCTAAAGAGCCAAGCCAGACCTGCTATTTAACCCGTAGCTGAGAGGAAGATAGCAAGATATCATACGTTTCCCAAATATAGTTGCGCGAAAGTGAAAGTAATGAACTGGACTGGAATTTAAACTCGACTCTCCGATTTCTCATTCCGAGCGACTATTCTTTACACCACCCACACACCCTTAACACGTTGGCTCCCAAGCCTTCGTTTCCCTTGTTGTCCCAACACTATATCTTAATTAATTTTGCTACACGTGACTTTGGGTTGTAAAATGGACAATGTTAAAACAGAGTCCCACAAGACCCTCACGAATGCATGGTACAGCTCTGTGTATGCAAAAAAAAATTTTTAAAGCAATCAATCCTACCATCCCACTCCAAATAATCCTCATAGAAAACAAATTACAAAACGACACATTGGAGGTCGTGTGGACCTTGCAGACATACCACCATGACCCCCGGTAGATTGTGTGGGAGCCAACGAGTTAATTAACACTGATAGGCCACATTTCATTGTTTTGAAAGAGACCCCGACTTATGCACATTGCTCAGTCACAGACAGTTTATATACAAACCACAGATGTACATTTCTTGGTCTTTGTCCCTAGAGTTGTTTTAAATTTCATACACCAAGGAATGGTTTCGTTTTATTTATTGGTTGTTACCACGGCTTGCATGACTTGTCATTCTCTCTCTCTCTCTTTCTCTTCTAATCTACTTCGCAAATTCTACTTTTTAGATAGAAAGAAGTACAGTAAAGTACATTGTGTCTTTCTCTCTGAATCGTCACGCAAACCAATCTTAATGTAGTTTAAGGAATTACCTTTTAAAGTCCCAATAGCAACACCTACCAAGAAAAAAGAGCTTTTTAGAAATGAAACCTCCACAAAGGAAAGAGAAGTCACTTCTTTCTATACGTTCCCACATAGGAATATTGTTTATAGTATCAAAGTAATGTCATTGCCTCAGGTTGCTCGTCTGTCGACTAGAGGCTAATACCCGCAAATTAAATAACGTTACATACTCATCGATATACATACATCGTAATAGACCCATAGTCAAGTTGACAACGGTGTTTGTGATTTTCTTTGGCGCTTGTCTTCTCTTCTGTGATCACCATTCGAGCCTAAATCCTGGAGAAGAAAGTTACCATGGTTCCGCAATGAAATTCAATTCAGTGTTGTTGGGAGTTTTGGCCCCTTACAAACCCAGTGGAGTCTATGGAACTTGTGAGTGAATTAATTGCATCCGGTGTCCTTGATGTGACGTCCACCTTCACTGACTACTCGATTAAGAAAGGAAAACTCTTTTGAGCAAAGTCAGAGAAGCCTGAAAATGAGTCGCCATGCAGAGTTGATGCCTATGTCCATAAAGGCTTTATCTCCATTATTGGCCATTCGTTCCCATAGATATAGCAAATGTTAAACAATATATTTATAGTATTTACATTAGTCGGACTATTGTCCTCATCTTTGTCGCCATATTTGTCACAACGTTTTGGCCGTTGTACGCTCCGGCCTTCTTCAGGTGGTTGGAATTTCGAACTGAACCCATTATTTCGATCACTGGGGTAGACTGTTCTAATTCCACGTGCCATGTTTGATGGATGTCAGTTATCAGTTATCTCCTGCTAATTTTCCCTCTGAAAGTTCTCCACTGTCTTAACCAGGAATTGAACTCACCTTCTTTGGGTCTGTCCAACGCCTTTATCCACTGTGCCATGTGTCATTGAGGACATCTGGGTATGAACTTCTGAGTATTATAAACCTAATGTTTTCAGCATCATTTTTACCAGTGCTCATATTGCAATTTTTGTGACAAATATGGCGACAAAGATGAGGACAATAGTCTGACTAATGTAAATACTGTACATAATACCTCATCTCAGAAATATAGACGAATATATTTATACATATAAATTCTGCTATGAGATACACAACGTTTTTGAAAGAAAGTCCGGCCATTGGGCGGCACCGTCAGGAACGCCATCGTCCGTAGTAAACCTATATGGATATATGAGAATACGGCGCCGGTGTCAAAACCCACGTGATCGAGGTATGCGAACCGTTACAGAGGTACGTTGAATTACCATAGATCAAAAGAGAGAAGAGATAGATTTCTACCTGTCCCGATAGGATTCATGCGGAAGTCAATGAAACCACAAAACGAAAGCAAACTGAGATAAAAAGGAATATCTTACCTTTTTTTCTTTTAAAGGTGGTATATCTGGTGCCATATTTGCACGGATCTACAATCGTTCGAAGTTTTATAATCCATTACTATCAGTATTCCACGCCTATGGGATCACCCCTCCCCACACTCAGCTCAGGTCATCAAAGTTCTAACCAGTAGTTTGCCATTTTGGGCCTGCCTACGCATCCTGTAACAATTTCTCTGTGTGTGTGTGTGTTTATCTATATGTTATACAGATAGAGCGTAGACGTAGAAAACAATACTGTCATCATGTTTCATGCCTTTAGTGATCATCAGACACAATGATGATAAAAATAAAAGAAAAACAAAATAAGATAAAACGAAATTTAACAAATCAAACAAGAAGAAAAATGTTTTATGAACTCAGTACCCCCCCCCCAATCATCACTAAAGAAAAGTGACACTGATGCCCAAATGTAAACGTCTGAATATTTTTGTCGTCAGCGAGAATCTACGGATCTTTCCAAATTGATGGAATTGATTGATTTGTTTTTTTACGGCTTATCAACACTTTGTGTTTTATTTCAAGCCGAGAAACATTTCGGATTGTAGGTAAAAAAAAAAAAAAAGAAGGAAATGTTGTTTAGAGCTAAAAGGAATGGAAATTGTGGAGAGCTATGATCGGCCATGATCTGAATAAGCATAGCACATGAAAAAAGAAGATGAAGAATATTCCTTTATATCTCAGTTGGTTTTCCTTCTGTTTGTGGTTACATTCACTCCCGCACAAATACACTTGGAACAGGTAGGAATCCATCTCTTCTCCCCCAACTATGGGTTAAATAGCTGGCTTTGTATTTGGAAAAATCATTGTTATCCCCAAAAAATTGTTAATGCAATATTCACTCGCAAAAACATGAATTATTCTTACAATCAAAAATATATTTCGGCTTCAAATAACTCATAAATGATTGATAAACCGTAAAAACAAATAATCAATCGATCAATTCTGTTTTGTCATTTCAAGCATGTTACTTACTTTACAGCCTGACTATTATAAATTTTAAAATAAATTACTGCAGATGGCTATTGTTTTAGTGGGAAATATTCAATTAAATGTTATAGAAAAAGTAACACTTGTGATCATCGTTAAAAAATGGATTTATGGAAAAATGAAAAAGGTCGGAGACTTACTTACCGATGTTTTCCACCATTCATTTGGAAAATGAGAAATATTGTTCAGTAGGTTTCGATTCTTGTTCCAATCTTCCAGCCATGCACGATGACTATACACTGGTTGTCGACTGAGGATCCTGCGTAGAATGTTCTTGTTTTCGACACTAATGCGCAGCTGTTCCCTTTCTCGCTTTTCAGCGTTCAGACTGCAAGGAAACAATTAATTTATTTAATTCTTATGTAGATTTTGACGGAGAAAATAATAAATGCTTCCACAAAAAGATTTTATCATTGGGATGATTAACGTTAGAAGACTTGTGAAAAAAAAAAACAAGAATTATTGTCTCGGAATGTTGATAATTATAAGAGTGATATATTTTGTCTACAAGAAACAAAAATCAAAGGACTTTGTATTCAGGTTGGATTAATACCGCACAAGTTAACAGCTTTGGAATGGAAATGGTTTTGTCATCAATAACAAATGAAAGAATAACACCTGTAGACATTGGACGAACAGCCATCGTATAAACACTGAACAACGAAATTAAAATGACTATCAATAACATTCCATAATTCCTTGTAAAATACTTTGAAGAGCCTGGAAGATCTGCAGCACTTTGAGGAGTTAACACAAGACAAGAAGGTTTGGAAAAGACTGATTAGAGGTATTTACAAAGTCGCTGAAGATTAGAAATCACACTAATTTGCAGTGGGCCTTCGAATCGAATTATTAACTCAAGTGATGATGTTTGATCTTCTCAACAAGTTGCAAAATTTTATCAAGAACAAAAAAGTATTTTGGGGAATTAGCACAGGACAGGTTTCGAAAGGATTGATATGATATATTTTCAAAGTTGCTGAAGATGAGAAATCACACCGATTTGCAGTGTGCCGTCAAGTCGAAACAGCTCTGATGACGATGATGATGATGATGATGATGGAAATTCCACGGGTGTTGACAATTAAGATTTTCTATTACCTCATGCTCTTCTTTCAATCATTGTCACTCTTTTCCTAATCTTTTACTCGTCCCTTCCAATATTCGTTTCCCATCCATATGTGTTTTATGTAAACGCAACGAATCGAGATATATTACTCTACCAACCAACTCTATTACAACTGCAATTGAAAAGAATCTATCTAAGATTAACATAATATTAACCCAAAACAATCAGAAAATCAGTAAAAAAAACAAAATAATAATCGGGTAAAAGTTAAAGGCGGAATTTACTCTATCAATGATACCTGTAGTAATTGCCACAAGGAATACATCGGAGAAACCTCGAGGAATTTAATTAAAAGATTATATGAACACAAAATGGATCTTTTTCAAAACAACACACTCAATACATTAGTTACCGCAATGGGTCTGACTATAATTTCGATTTAAAAAATGCTGCTTTAATTAAAAGAAAAGGCAATTTACTAAGACGAAAGCGCTTTAATCACAAGATCATCTTCATTAAATTTGTACTCAAGTTCTTCCAATATTTCACTTCTATTATCACAATGTGAGAGACTTAATAATAAAAGCGATGAAAACAAAAATGAAAAGCATGAGAAAACTAAATGAAATATGTTAGACTACATGTCCAAACACTTCTAAAAAAAATTTTTTAATTTTAAATTTCAGCGTTCCAGCATCTTCAGCGATTCACGTTTGCGCATAATTGTAATTGATCTCTGCGTTTTTATATATCCCCCTCTCCTTCCTACACATATATAATTCTATCATTAAAAACATTATTTTAGTCTTCTTTCAAGAGGACAAAATGCATCACACGGAATTCTTTCTACTTTGCCATACATTTTCTTAGTATCAAACTGTAACAAAAACACAGATTGGTTTCAAATCGAAAAACTAACAAGGAATGCACAATTATTTTCAATTGGATTATTTCTCTCAACTTTCACACCTTGCCTCTCTCTTCTCATTCTTTTACTCTCGCTATAAAGAATGTTAATGTATCCCTATTTAACGCCTTTTCCAATCCCAACTTGTCTTTCAATGTAAAATATGACGGACAAAGAATAGTTTGTAAGATTTTATTTATATAGAATTTCTATATAACATTGGTTTTGTATAGCTATTTTTAAGGCGAGTGTTATTGGTGTTAGGACTGTTAATATAGCCCTAAAAACATACATACATACTGCAGGCTAAGTTTATAAAATAAAATGATTTCTTAAATCTCCTGAAAAGTATCGTCTATTTATCATCTCCCTAACACCTCATTAATCATAACACCGGCGTTCTTAAGGACAGGTGGCTGCTGATGTATAATGTTGTTTTTTTTACATTACAAAATAAATGAACGTTGAGAAAATGTTTTTTTTTTTTTTTTTGTAAGGTTTATTTTCTTTTTTATGAATACAAATTGTATCATCTTTGTGCAACAGAGTTCGTAGCTTGGGGTATGTTGGCACAGAGAGAGAAAGAAAATAGGACTCCTTTGCAGCAGAAAGTTGTCCTTAGTTTTTTTAGTGATTAGAGGAGCGGACCAGCTTCCTGACGAAAGGGTAGAGAGAACTGACTTCGAAGCCCCCTTTTTCTGGATTTTTATTGAGGTCGGAAGTGCAGCGAGTGTTCATAGGATTGCCCTTCGCTTTGATAGAGAATCATTGATCTTTTGTTTTGCTTATCCAAATATCTGGTTTCAGAAACGAACTTAGCTAACTGACCTGTTCTTAGGAATGTTGGTGTTAAAGAAATGTTATGTAGATGATAAGTAGGTAATACTTTTCAGGAGATTTAAGAAATATATTTATTTTATTTTATTTATTAAACTACTGCTACAACGCAAAAATACATAAAACGCATACATATAAAAAATACTAAACATACATACAAAACAAACGTTATAATAAATTCTCAGATTAAATTGGAAAACTAACAAAAAATCTGTTTATATTGGTCATACCACCACAACACTCGCTCGTACATTAATTTACAACTTATCCCACCAGAATGTAATAAGATCAAATTTTAATAAGCATAATATTCCTACTAATATAAAATCTATAATGATCGATCCTACAACATTAATTGCAAACAAAGGCCTTAAATTCTTGAAGAACTTATGATAAAAATCTTAGGCAAACTTGGACCTTTGTGCTCGCAAAAAACAAAGTGCCAAAAACACGCTATTATTTTTACTACCTTCACTCTTCGGCAATGTTCATTGTTTTAAAAAGCGATAATTAGAATTGTAATATAACCTAAAAATACGATGAAAATGAATTTATACATTTTCTTTATTCTTGAGAATTGACAACCAAAATATATTAAACACTATTTATTTACTAGATTGTTTATTTACAAAAATAATTTATAAACATTTCCAAAATTATAAAATATATGAACCAACTATAAAGAAAACCTTACTGTTTACCATTTTATAAAATTTGAATTAATTCACAATTAGCCGATATTTTGCCAAACATTCTAATAAACAATTAAATAAATAAATAGTGTAAACCTTGATAAAAGATTTCAGGTAAATAATTACAAAAATCACTTACATATGCAGCCAGGCAAAGCACAATTAAAATATTTTTCAGAAATATCTCGAGACATATATGTTATAAAGCAAGGATTCAGATAATCATAAAGTAGCCTTAAAAACTAAAAAATCCCGTTCTAGAATACTATGGACGTAGCATTTTGTTAAAATCCTTTCACCCCAAGCAAGGCAATAAAGACACAAGGGGGGTACTGTATGTGAACGAATAAGAAAAATAAAAACATTATTAAGGAGCGAGAACAATAAAAGAAGAGGAGTCAAGGAGATAGTAGATAACGATTGAAATTGCATTTTAATTAAGATCAAAAATGACTGGAAAACAAGAAGCCGGAAGAGAGTTCCAGAGGCGAGAAGTGTGAGAAAAGAAACTGTTAGTAAAGAACTTAGGGTTACATCTAGCCAATTCAACGACAAAATGATGAGACTTTGTTGCTAATCTAGTACTGCGCTTAAATTCATAAAGTCTCGATACTATAGAGGAAAGTTCACCAGAACAATTATCATGAAAGTATTTATAGAAAAGGCACAGGGAAGCGACATTACAGCAGTTGAAAGTAACTGATTCCGGGATGCCAATAACATTTGTTGAGGAGTAAATAAGACATCCCCGGTAACACAAATGAATTAGGCATGACGCCTTAAATAAAGAACTCATAATGAGTTAAAAGAAGTCCGTTGCAGTCTGTCTCAGGCTCGCATCAAGACAAGACCTCAGAGGGTAACATGACTTCCGTCTTCGGGCGGAGGATGACTCAGTCGGGCTCTGTCTTCGGATAGAGACTCGGTTGAGAAAAACAAGCCAGTTCTGTGCCCGAGACCGCTTTGGTGGGGGCTGGTTAAATTTTGACCAGTGGCCCGGGTGGAAACGCTTGTGTGCCCCAAGGTAAACTTGACCTTGTGTCGCATCTAGTCCGCAGTGGGGCGACCGGTAAATTCCAGTCCGTCGCAGTCAAGCAGTTCGCTGCCAGGCTCGCCTGTGACTTGAACTCTCTGCCTTCACAGAAGAACCCAGAAACGCCCCACATAAAAATAGGCCTTGTGCTACATCTTGCCCCGTGGGGATGTTGGTAAATACCAGTTTGTAGGAGTCAGTCAATTTCTAATGACGTCACGGCTAGTAACCTAAATGAGATATAATATTGTAACGGTTAAGTTTGCCACAGAATTAGAGATAACCTTGATTTTGAACATTTTTATGAAAATACGAGATTCATCTAACCTCACTTTGTAAAACTGAGATATTATCTAAACAATTCAGAAACCCTGCGACACATGTGACTCTTAGCAACTCATTACGACAGTCGAATGAATCGAACTAAGTGAGCTTTTTTTTTATAGTAATTATAATGGTTTTTATGAGTCTAACAAAATTGTAATTAGAACTTATCTTGCCTAATTGCATAGTATACAAAGGAAGATTTTGTGCAAGCTTGTTTAGTAAATTTTATAATCTGTGCTATTATTATTATTATTATTATTATCTATTTTAATAATTTTTTTTTTCAAATTTTACACCGGAGAATGAGTTTTGTGTTTTATCGTCTCTGCCATTCATAATAGTCAGGATAAGAGGTTTAGCGTTCTCTCTTCTCTCAAATCTTTTTACATTAGCAATGGTTTCTGAATTACGCTTTCCAACCATTGCGCCATTGTAGACGCTTGTGTTTGTAAAAATATCTTTGAATCCTCACCTTTTATTTCTGTAGTCATGAAAATTGTCAACTCGACCTCTGGTGCGCATAATATAGGCCATTTTCTCGAGAAGAATCCGATTATCTCTTTCAATAATATCAAGACGATCTTCTTCCAACTGCAAAGAAATTGAAGAACATAATATATATATATATATATATATATATATATATATATATATATATATATTTATGGAAGAAAATGTTACATAAATTTTTATATACCAGTATAATGTTAGGAAATTTAAAGACAAAGTGTAAAAAGTTTTCGTGTAACGTGTTTCGATGAAGTCTTAAAGGATGAAATGCGTGTCACGAAAAATTTCTTCACTTCGTTATTAATTTTCTTATATCTATCTATCTATCTATCTATATATATATATATATATATATATATATATATATATATCAAGCTAGTAATTACTCAGGGTAGGCAACTTGTGATCATTTATGTAATAAATCTATAAGACAATAAAATATTTTGCATTTTATGCATAGCAATCAAAGTAAACTTGATAATTTTGTTGGATTAGGTACATATTGTGCCACAGAAGGAAAATGTAGCTGCTGATCTATTTCATTCAGGATAGGCACTGCTGACCTTGCCTACCACAACAGTCGTCGATGGGAAAATTGTCGCCATTTTATATTTTTAATTTCGCGCATGCGCGTTGTTTATTTTTGATTTTGTTGACTGCACAGTATAGTAGGGTTACTTGGGAACCATCTGTGAGAAAAAGAGCTCCGTGTTGAAATTCACCCCGTAAAAATTTGGAAACGGCATGCTGTACTGCTTTGAATTCGCGCCGGAAGCTCCAATACGAACATTTCAGTGTGTTTGGGTGTCACTGTGAGGACAGTGCAGAGGATTCGGAAAGAGTTGGATGAGTCTAATGGTGATTACAAAGGTACGGAAGCTTGGAAAACTCACTCTGATCGTTCTAATAAAAAAGAGCTCCCGAATTTTTTGGTGAGAGCCTCAGAGTAGAACGGAAGCGTACATCAAGTGCCTTGAAGAAGTAGTACTGCCCTGGGTTAAGAGGGTGGCTGTTGTAAGACAATTTCTGTGATCACATCAACCCTTACCCAGACTGCGACCCCTTTGATTATTATTTAGGGCGCAGTTGAGCGAGAACAACAAAACCCCTTGTAACACCAAAGATGAACTGAAGGCAAAGATTACGGCAGCATTCATCAACTCAAACAAGGAAACCGCCCGGAAGAGTTGCAGGAGATTCCGAAGTCGTCTGATAACTTAGGGATAAAAACTCTGACTGATGCAAAATCGGTCGAGCTTCGATCCCGGCTTGAAGCAATCGGACGTCTAGACACACTGATGAGCTATGATACAGCGAAACAGGCTTATATATATATATATATGTGTGTGTGTGTGTGTGTGTGTGTGTGTGTGTGTTAATGTATATTTGGACAGCAACTTTTCTTTTAAACATGTTTCTTTGAATATGACGGACAAGGAAATTCATTTTTATTTAGTTTTTCCAGCGTTCTTACATTTTCAGTTTGGTCGGATTAAGGGTTTGCAAAAGTCGTTCATATTGTCCATTTTCCCAAACGCTTTCCGCCATTTCTCAAAACATTTTCAAGGGGGTTTGTTTGAGGTGTTGAGAAATTAACAACACGTCAAAAAATCTTGAAAATTGTCACCACTTTGACAAATTGACCATGGTAAGATTTGAATGGTCGGAATGCTAAAGTTCTAATATTCTAACATGTATACATACAGGTAGACCTCCTTGTATACGCGGAATATATTCAAAGACATACAACGGATATACAAAGTGATTGAAAAGTAACTCCCTATTTTATGTATGATGGACTCTACCGTCTAACTATAATTTTTACAAAACGGGAGAGTCCATTATACATAAAATAGGGAGTTACTTTTCAATCACCCTGTATATGATACATATGTACCTGGTTTAGGTTACCAGTCAGTAATGACGTTGATTCGTTCGTTGAAGAGAAATATTTTCGTGTGTCAAAAGGATATATATGTATATATATTTATGTGATAGCTGATAGTGAAGATATTATTGTGATCGTATGAGTTTTTTTTGTTTTTGTTTTTTGTACAGGCGACAGTGTAGTGATAATATTGTGTTGTATGCGATACGTGATTTATTGGGGACTAAGAAGTCCCCCAGAGTGGAAAAGGAACACGTCTTGCCTCTACGTCACCTGTGGCTGAAGACCGAAAGAATAGAAAGAGGCTTTGTGTTTTTTTTTTTTATACTCTACTTCATACAATTCCACCTAGCGAGCGTTAGATGTCTCCTGACAGACAAGGTGGGGTAATTATAACAATAAGCTGCGATAAAAGTTTTTTATTTCACTGAAGCAAACGTCAAACACATGAGAGCGTTATCGTCTCCTTTATTTCTCTTTCTTTTTTCTTTTTCTCACTGAAACCAAACAGTGTCTCGGACATGTCTGTAGCGAATCGGGGGTTTACGTGTTGTTAAATTAGAAACACATGCGTTTATTCCTGCTAGAAGAAGGTCCACTACAAGAACATGACGGACTCAGAGATCCAGCATAAAGAAGTAAAGAAAAACCAAAAAGACCGATAAATAATATATATATATATATATATATATAAACAAATATATGTATTAAACAACAAAATTTATAATGGACATAGACATTAACACTTGTGTTTGTGTGTTAACGTAAAGAGTTTGTATTTTGGTGAATGTCCGTACGAACGTGTATGTGTTCATGGCGTCTCCCACAAATGGGAAGACGCAATCTTCTGCGACAGCTTACATTGTAAATGTGTTCGAAATGAAAATGAAGAAATCGCCCAGTATTTAAAAGAGAAACGAGTGGACAATTTGGAAAATTAAAAGGAAACTCCGACATGTCTTTTTCCCAGTATTTATTATTTCTGAGGTACGGGGTACTCATGAAAACTAAAGAACCCAGAATTCTAAATTCGAGAAAGACCAGGTACTTCTGCGACAATATCATTTTCCGTTGAAATAAGTTAATAAGCCCCCTATCGCATCTGTTAAAATTTAAATATTTAAATATTTGCACTTTAAATATTTCAACTTTAACAAGATATTGCAATAACAATCATAAATAGGAATGCTGGGCATTATTTTAAGAAGTAAGGGGATACAAGTGAAAAGATGCGAAATTGAAAATTTTTTCCATTTAACTCAAACAGACGTTAAAAACATCTTGATTGCTTTCTGTCATTATCTCACTGAAACCATGTAGCGTCACTGATATATCTTTTCCGTCTTTCCATTCAATCGAAACGGAATAGTTCATTATTTATGAGGTTTTGGCAGGCGTCACAGACGAACGGGCTAACTAAGGAAGAGGCAAACAGAATTATAATAAGATAACATAAAAATTCGTTCCTGCCATAGAGCATATTAGGCACAAAATTAGACTATTAGCAATAACTAATCTTCTAGATCTATAATTCTCAAAATGTGTGCGTGTATGTATGTATGTATGTGCGCGCGCGCGTGTGTAATCGGATGTTGTTTATGCCTTTCCACAGTTTTCATCCGATTTCGATGAATTTTTTTTGTTTGATAGATAATTCTTCAGTGCCGGTTTTGAGTCCAAATTGTTGGTGACAAAAAATGGCTCTCCACTACTTCCTGTCCATTATAACTCTCAGCAACGTTTTACTATTTACTATCTGTTCTTGGATATATATATATTTCATAAAAACTTTAATAAAAATAAATAGTTTAAATTCTTACAATAACATTACCTATATCTATAATTCTCAAAATGTGTGTGTGTGTGTGTGAACGGATGTTGTTTATGTGTTTCCACAGTTTTCAACAACGAGGCTGAAAATGATGATCAAAAGACTGGGGAGAAACGCCTCTTCAACTGCTGCTGCGCGTGAGCCTGAAACCAGATTAAGAACGCAAAAAAAAAAACGGCCCTTTTCAGGGCCACCCCCATTCCAATTGTCAACAAACCCATTTGGGGATGTGCCTGAGTTGCACCCAATTGTTGTTACTAATACTGATTTTCGAGTTGGGCTGATTTTAAAGTTAAACAGCTCCAATTGAACGGCAAAAATTCCCAGTAATGAAAGATCCGGTCGAAGACGGCTTATAATGCGAGTAATAAAATAAAGCAATTCAAACAAAACAGTGTAATGAAAGTTATGTGATAGAAGATTCGTTCTTACCGTAGATCTTATTAGTCCCAATAAGAGATTAAAAACAATAATTGATAATAGAATAGAACAATTATAGAAAAATACTGTAATAAAACGTGTATAACAGACAGTATACTTGTTCTTATTGTAAATCTTATTAGGCACAATAAGAGATTCGCAACAATAACTAATAATAACATATAACAATTATTACAGCATACTGTAATAATATTTTGGAATCATTATTAAGTCAAATTTACGAATTCTTTATATTGTGGGTTGGCCGCGGGTAACTGAAATCCAAACCGCGGATATAACTGAATTTTTTGGATACTGAAAAAAGAAAAATGGCAAATTCCAATCTACTGAATTGGAAGGGATACTTCGCCGTTTCCCAGTTTTGAGTCAGGGCCGATATTCATGACCTTCACCTAAACTCGAACTCGACTTTAGGAATTGTTGAGGAAGGTTTTTTTCCGTTTCAAAAACGGACACCATTCTTTTAGAAACAAAGAAAGATTGCAGAAGAGAGAATTCAACGAAATCATTTATTTGTTTTATTTTAAGAGTCGACTGAATAAAAATGCCCTCAAAAGTAGTTTTGGGATGGGTTGTGTTGAATTGGCTGGTTTTAAAACATGTCAACGCCTGCTGGAATATTTAATGTCAAAATCAGCCTTTTTAATATTCCAGTCTATAAACATTTAGTTAACTCAGGAATAGATAAATATTGGTAGTTTATATTCAAATCTGTGAATGTTGCTGGTGTGGATAGGTGGCAGGATAATTATGTTATCGGAAATTATGGGAATAAAAACGAACAGACAAAAACGATAAAAACGAACAGACAGGTTAAAATAAATTATATATTTTTTATTTATTTTCTTTAGAGTGAATAGTGAGTCCTTTTGTATTCGGTGTAGCAAAAAGTTCATTAATAAGGCGGATATTGATGGCAGT